AATGAAAGTTGGTACACGTGTAGATTATATATCCTAGCTTAACACTTTGGGAAAAGGGATGGTTAATAATGAAGTCTAACAGCTCAATTGCTAGCAATATACCATATCAGGTCGACCTCCGCGCGGTTCTCCCTGCTAACTGTTGTGGTTAATTATTATTGAATTCATCACGACGGGTCAACTGCCCTGTTTTCCTCCTCACCTATCATCTTTCGCTGGTCCCCCACCAGCGTATACCGATAGCGCAGGCGGGGTTACCACTTCTTTTTAACCCATTAAAAAAACCTTGCACTTATAGTACTTCATGTAATGACTAACACGTGTGAAACCGCGAGATACAATTAGTTTGTAATATATTCTAACGTAACTCTAATAGTCGTATCAGCGCCGATATCGGTCATATTACTTCATAATCACTGTCGATGACTTGATGACATACTTTGATTAATACGCTGGTACCACTGAATGATGATAAGAGATGACAAGCTAATAAACTAAGAATTAACTATGACAGTTTCCAGGAGGCACCATATGGAGGCCGAATATTAGGGATATTTTTTTTATATTATTTTAATATATTATGTAATGTTGCATGTATATATTTTTGACAAAAGGGATTGTTAGTAGTAAAGTTTAACAACTTCATTGCTAGCAATACATTCAATGCAATGCAGTCAGGGTCGAACTGGGTCGGAAAAGCCCTGGTGGTTGACCATAAGGCGGGGCCTGAGACTAGATGATAGTAATTGCACCAGTTGGTAGCGGCACCACAAGCCCTAAGCCAGGCCCGTGGAGTACCCAGGCAGGCTGGGGCACAACTAAAAAATGGCACATCGACTATATGGCCAGTCCGACGCTAAATACAGTGGTTGTTGTTCAATTGGTCTATATGGGCCAATTGACCTGTCTTCATCTTCACCTGTCATCCTTCACTGAAACCCTGTTTGCGCTATCGGTATACACTAGCTTACTATTCCATCTTCACCTATTGAAATAAAATGCCATCAATTAATGTAGGATAAATTATCTGCATTACAGACTAGGTGAAGTCCCATTCGCAAATTGTTTTTACTGATAATGCAATGACCCGTTAAAAGTTGTGCGATATTTAGAGTAAAAATAATTTTAGAACAAGTCGTTATGATACAAGTGACCTTTAATTAATGAGACTTTATAAAAATAAAAGTGAATCGCTAAATATGTTGCTAAGCGCAAAACTTGGGAACGATTGGATCAATATAGCTAACGTCATTTTTTACATTAATTCGTCGAAATTTGATGAAACGATTTATACCGAGAAAAATTGTTTGAAAAAACCTAAAAGCCTCATTTTTTCTATACAAACGCTTCATAGCAGCTAATTTTTTTTTTTACTACGATGTTGGTAAACATGTATACAGCCCGTGTGATGGTAAACGGTCACTGTAGCCTGCCAGCATGTGGGCGCGAGTAACGTGCATTGTCAGCCCTAAAATTCAAACATTTCAATAATGTTAACAATACGACGTGTATTGGATCAGCTACTTTGTTTGTTAAATATAAATATTAATTTATAATGAAACTAACAGACGGACTTATCCCTTGAAGGATTTCTTCCAGTCAACATTGAGAATTTTTTTTTTTTTTAAGCAAACAAGCTGACGGCCCACCTAATGGAAAGTGGTAACCGTCGCCTATAGACATGAGCAATACCATGGACATAACAGAGTATACTGTTTCGCTCATGATACCCCCCATGCGTTACCATTTCTGAGGACTCAGGTGTTATTCCTCTGTATCCTGTAAAAACACGCCATATCCCACCCTTCAAATCGAAACACAGCCATGCAAACACAACTGCTTCACGGTTGAAACACGAATAGGAAATATTCATACATTATTTTTATTGTGCTGGAATTGAACTCACGACTATTTGAAAGGTGAGGGCTTCATCACCAAGGTCATTCAATTATTGAATTATGCTTATTCATATATAGGCTGTCATATTTAATAAAATCATTTGAATAAAATGTTCATAACACATTAATATAGCTGATCACAATAATATTCATACCACAATTCAATATTAGAACAAAGCAAGGCTTTATGACAACATCGTGAACGTTATGAATAAATAAGTATTAAATAGGTTCAGTGCTGCCCCTCTGTTATGTAGGGTAATATAACAGATTGCGATGTTTCTAGGTCGACATGGGGTGATCGACGAAAATTATTATCGTATATGAATCAAAATATATTGAGTAATCGGAACTGTCCATATAATTTGTAACGTTCGATACAATCGACAAATAAATTAAACAATCGTACGGACTACACTTTTGTGATAAAAAATTTGGATTTTTTTTTTTTTTTACTGATGAGACAATTTACGATCAGCAAAGGAATCTATCATGCTGCCTGGCTAGATATGTGGGATCATTAGTTCATTTTATAAATGTGTATAAAATATGTATGGTATTTTTGTAGAAATCTATAATTTTTCTGAAAATAATGTATGTATGGCTTATATTACTTACTGATAATATTTCCTTTCTATGGTGAAACAATTCTCAGGCGATTTAAATTTATTTATTTAACTATTTAATTTATTTAATTATTTAACCAACACAAAAAACAAAGCTACAAAAAATCAAGTCTTTCCTCTTTATAATATAGATGAAACAAAGAAACCGCATGCAGTAGGTATACGGTGAATTCCCTATTTCCTATTTATGCGTAACGGTTACTACGACTCTTTGCGCAATTAGATATGCAAAAATCTTTTGTATGTATTGAATACCAACTAACCTATTTCATAATAATTATTAGATATCTAAATCATTGAGTTACAAAAAAATCAAGATTCATTCAGACGATTCTTTTAAAAAATACACTTAATATTGTCATTTTAAAAAATGTAAAACTTAAAACGAAAAATTAATAGTCATAGAAGAAAACTTGAGTACAATAGAATAAATAATATGCATTTTATTTCATTTCTTTTTTATTTATGTATTTAGTGTCTAACTTGCGCCATCTACCTTTCTCTCTGTACTTAACTACTACTTTATGCCAGGTCACAGATAATATAATACTATACTAGTAGCCAGTTATCTGTAAAAAGATTGCTTTTAGCAATAAGACCGCCTTTTGTATATGCACATACTGCATATCCTGTGTAAATACTCCTTGTATATATCTTTTTGTACGCAATAGTTTATTATTATACTTACCTTAAACAAAAGACTATCTAAAAAAGTACATTCATACAAAATTTATAAGAACACTTTTGTGCGCTCAACTATAACGTCACCAGAGGGCCTACCATGAAATATTTTCCGAAATTTCGGGGACGAATGAAACAGAAATTTGATGTTAAAATTACATAATACATGCCGTTTAAAATTATTAAAAATGGTAAAATATCATTCCTTTAGACTATTAGGATAGGATTTATGATGAACGAAATGTTAAGCTCCATTTACTGGGTTGATTTTGGTGGGAACAAAAACACGAAATTTCGGAATTTCATTCCATGGTAGACGTGATATGTGAATAGTTCAGTACCGTTTTTAGTCCCTTCGAATATCTAATGCAGGGGTGGCCGACTTGACTAGACCCAAGATCTACTGTTTACTAAAGAAACGCTGTGCGATCTACCATTCACATACTTCTTGAAATCTCAAATGAAACAACATTGTTCTGTACACAATTACGTAGTATTGTAGTATATTTTATTTTATTAAGAGGGAAAATATAAAACTGAATATTATTCTTAGTAACTACATACTTATTTATATTAGTGTGAGCATTGCGTCTGCGCAATTCCTTCCGTTAGATTAGTAAAATATTATATTTTTTGCCTTGCCACGATCGGCTGGAATAGTCGCGAACGACCAGTTGGCCACCTCTGATCTAGTTTTTTTTTTTTTTTATATATATATTGGTTTTTAGTGGATTTCTGAAGTAGAAAAAGTAATGAAATGGACCACTTCCAGGTAACGTATCACTATTAAGAATACATCAGATTTTAAGTTAAATCTTCAAGAATACAACTGTGGAAACCGCATCCGATTTCATGCAGTAGTTTCTGTGTGATCTTAGAACATACCTATAGATAGAAAGACGAAAAAATATTGGTGTCGCTTCTAATGGTATTATTAAATAAAAAAAAAACCCTCTCATTTATTTTTATTAAATATGTACAGAGATCGGCCAGTTACAATTTTTTATATTAGTAAGACGATTTAGGTACGCATTAGTTATTTGATCGCTATTACCAAATGCAACTGCAGTTTATTTATCATATTACTTTTTTTAAAACACAAAGCGAAAACGAGCATGCGGTTCACCTGATGGTAAGTGACAACACTAAGGGCATTGCAGGTGTGCTGCCGGCCTTTTAAAAAGGAATAAACTCTTTTCTTGAAGGTTATGACGTCGTATCGGTTCAGAATTACTTGTGATAAATAAAACATCATATAATGTTAGAAAACATTATTTATTGTAATTCAATCACATTACTGCGTGATCTACTTGCCTTGATGCCTTACCTTAGTTTAACAATAAGATGCACTTAATATAACACCTATCGTAAAGTTTCCAAGTTATTTACATTAACATAAAAACTTTAAATCTCTCATAAACCTATTTTAGCTAACAGAATGGTTTCGTCTCTATTTTTACCCTATTAGAAAAGGGGGAAAGGGATTGTTAGTAATGGAGACTAAGAATCCCATTGCTAGCAATATACCCAACCAGCTTGACCTCCTCGCGGTTCCCCCTGGAAACTATCATGGTTAATTCCTGATTAATTCATCATGATGGGCTAACTGGCCTGTTTTTCTCATCAATCACCCTTCACTGGTGCTCCGCCAGCGTATCCCGTTAGCGCAGGCGGGGTTACCATTCCATTTTCACCCATAAAAAACCCTATTAGAAAGAGTGTGACAAAACAGTGCAATAGTTAAAATAGGCTTTAGTTTTTATGAATAAAGGGGTAAAATTTTACACATTATCAATGTGTGTTGCATTAGTTATATAATTGTAAAACAATACACAATTCTACAAGTAATTATTGTATATAAGTCACGCGTCGTTACCGCGAACATGAGAAAAACACGTAGCGGAATGGTGCTATCTCATTCTATCTGATGCGTACAATATCAAAACCGTATCTATCGATTAATAAGTCTAGGGGGCAGGACTATTGTTACATTTCGTGTACAATGAGATTTCACAATGTACGGTTGCGTAGTTTATTTTCAATACTCTTCTCCACTTCCATCACTTTCTTCAATATTGCATCGTCAATTGACTTTAACTGAAAAAGACGAAATAAAATTAATGTTCATTCACCGGTTTATTTCATTTAATGTTAACTTTTTTAAAAATAATTATTGAATATCGAATTTGTACTGCAAGTGAATCACAGTCATAGAACTGTGTGCTAAAGAAAATTTGCAGGTTTTATTACTTCACTTTATTATTTTATAACAAGAACTTTTTATTCTTAAATAGACGATAAAAATTACATCCTTAGTTTTTTTTTTTAAAGAATAGACACTTTTAATTTCATTACATATATATAGAAGTCACCTACCTCGTTGGTAAATGAGTTCTTCAAATTAACCAGTTGTTCCATTCCACTGGCTTTCTCCTGCTCGTATTTAGTGGTTAATTCCTTTATCTCCTCTGTACGCTGAAGCGCTTTCTTACATCGCTCGCGACACTTTCTATCCTTATCTTCGGCGTCACGAAGCGCGCTATAAGTTGACAAAGAAAGAGTAGTATTTACCTCATACTAAAAGACCATCCGGTACTTACTTTATTTATATATAGTGTTTTTTTTTTTAATTGATGATAATGGCATGGTAACCCCACCCGCGCTGTCGGTATACACCGGCGAGGCACCAGTGAAGGATGATAGGTGAGGATAAAGCAGGTCAGTTAGCCCATCGTGACGAATTCAACAAGAATTGTTCACGATGGTTTCCAGGGGGAACCATGTGGAGTTTAGTGTTTGGCACAAATGCCAAAAGCAGAAATAATATATTCCATGAGCAAATGTATATATTAACATTCTAGCTACAGCTTTTATTGGAGTAAAACAAAACCAACAAATTAATAGTATAAAGCTCAAATTCCATCATATACATAGATAGTTCTTTAGACAAATTAATAAAAAAAATCGAAACAGGTCAACTGTATGACTGACCTATCTGTTGTTATATATACTCTCATACATCCAATGTAAAGTTTTAAAAAACTTAATAACATGGCAACTACCTCATTATTCCTTATAAAAAAGGTAGCCTCACCTTTGTGCTAATGTCTTCTCCTGTTGCCTTTTGAGCTGACTCTCTTGCCTCTTCTTGCTAGCCTCCTCCCGTGCACTCTTCAATTCTACAAGCTGCACTTGCAATTCTATTAATTCTGTATTCAGTACATCTATTTCTCCTTCTTTACTGTCGAAATCTAGGTCGCCCGATTCATAGTCTCTGTAACAAATTTCGTTTTAGGTAAGTTTTATTCATTCTTGTCTTCATTCATGGAAATATAAACTTGTTTTAACTAGTTTTTGAAAATGGTGATAAAAAAACTTTTTTATGTAATAATTTACTATATTTTTAGTTTAAATTTAGAACTATTTATGGTACTTTCTAGTACTACACTAAATTTTTTCATTTGTATCTATAATATTAGAAACTCATACTGTTTACCGATTGAATAGTATAAAGTAACATTTTCAAGTTAATTTTTTACTAACATTTGGGGAGGTAAATAGAAAATGGTAAACTTCACCCCTCCCACCTACATACTTTGTCATTTCTGACAACTATAATACTATTTTATGTCTAATATAGCACTGGATTTATACCATTCAGACTGAAACAATATATCCATTATTTCTTCATGTCACAAATATACAAAGTTGCTAATCCCTACACAAATTTGAACACCTGGCAATTTTAGTTTAAGATAAAACTTACTTCAAACTCTCAGACAACTTCATAATCTCATGTAAGAGATTATTAGCCGTGTCCAGATTAGGTTTTATTGTCTGCAAATTTTTCAAGCTATTCTCCTTCTGCATTAATGTCGCTCTAAGAGAATTCAACTTCTCCTCTGCTTCTTGGACATTCTGTGCAGCTTGTTCCGCCTGCGCCTTTATATCTTCCGCGTCGTATACCCTGAGAGCCTTTTTACGATCTACTTCCATCATTAAGGCATCCCTCTGACTTCTCTTTTGTTCAAGCAATACCTCTATTTTGTGATTCTCTTTTAGAACTTCCTCTAATTCTTGTTTCTCCTCTTCGTGTAATTCTGTCTCTTGTCGTAACTCCTCTTCATATTGTTTTATGTCATAATCCAACTAGAAATATCATAACAAATTATACATATATGTATTCAGATGATTATTATGCTAAAAAAATTGTGAATTAAATTATGACAAAATTAATATGAAACTAAAGAAACAAATTGTTTTAGGATTGGCAAAGATGCACACAATAAATATCCCTTTTGAGTCATATATATTTTATATGATTTTAAATGTATATTTATTATGTGCATTTATTGATTGTTGTGCGTTAATTTATTGTGTGTGCATATTTAATATTTTCATTTGTAAAATTATTAGTATAATAATTAATATGTTATTTGTTTCACCTTTTCGAGCCTCTCAGAGCGCTTCCCTTTCTCTTCAGCTTGCTCATTAAGCATCTCAAGTAGTCTGTTTTTCTTATTCTCTAATTCTTTAACCTGGAACATTCAAACATAAAATTTTATGTTTGTTATATATTAAATAAGAAATAACACAAATTAATCATGGCTTTTTTTATGCTGAATGGCGTATTACAACTGATCACAGCTTATTTGTTAGTACCCTACATAATAATAGCTTTTTTCTTTCTTTCTTTCTTTCTTTATTCTTTATTGTACACAAAAGGTTATTGAAATGTAAAAACAAACATAATAATGCACAAGACAAGCTTATCTGCAATAGAGATTTCTTCCAGCAAACCCAATATGAGAAAACTGACAGTTCATTAGTAGTTACAGTCATACATTTATTATTTTAAAACGTGAGTGGGTAAATTAATCTTGCTATGATAATAAAAGTAGGAATTTAGACTAATTAATAGATGACGTACAAAAGTCGATTGCTTAGGTACCTTTTTCCCATTCGTGTTTCTACTGTGAAGCAGTTGTGTTTGCATGGCTGTGTTTCGATTTGAAGGGTGGGATATGGCGTGAATTTACTGGGTATAAAGGAATAACACCTGAGTCCTCAGGAATGGCAACGCATGGGGGATATCATGAGTGAAACAGTATACTCTGTTATGTCCATGGTACTGCTCATGTCTATAGGTGACAGTTGCCACTTTCCATCAGGTGGACCGTCAGCTTGTTTGCCATTCTAAGTTGTATAAAAAAAACTGCTTTAAAAACCATATTATACCTGTTCAGTTTTAGCAAACAGTAGTTCCTCCTGTGGAGCAATGTCCCTTAGCCTCTCCTCATTGAAGACCATCAAATTGAACATTAACAACAGTATTGAATTTGACGTGATCATAGTGGGTTGCAGGAAGTGTGTTAATGTGATGTTGACATTCATTTGTGGAAGCACTGCTACAAAATGATTGATAACACGAGTCATGTTGATGATTGGCAACAGATCCCAGTAGTAGATTGTGTGTTCATTGCGACTCTCTTCAGGCGGTGGCTGTTAAATACAAACAACATAGTATAAAATCAAATAGACTAGAATTTTTAAAAGAATTGTTCTATCACTGAAACAGAACATGTTCCCAAAAAATATTTTAACCTATATACCTATCATACTGAGACTGGCAATGCCATCATAAAAATGAGACAAAAAAATAATTACACAAATGTGCACATTTTGTAAATGTGTAATGTGTAACAGATCTAAATTTATACAGAAACAAAGCTGCAAAAATTACATTATTAAATTTATAGATAGTCAGGACTTTATATAGATTAAATTAGATATTTTATCTATAATTTCTTGTAGAAATTATTTCTAATGGTTCTACAATATGACATTTTTGTACAGCTTAATTATATGAAAAATACACAATTTACTTACTCTAACAAACTACATTATTTAGTTTAATTAATCTAACTTAAAATTTAAAAATAATAAGAATTTATTTTCTTCATACTCCTGCCTAGTCAATGTTAGGCTTAATCTGTCCTTTAATTATTTGTATTTATAAGAAGTGTATACTTATATATATTACTACAGCATTACTGCTGTAATATTTTGGAAGAAATAAAAAATATCTATTTATAATAATTGTTTAACAAGTTGACAACTCAATTACCAAAGAACTCTGGACAGTTCTAATTAGTATAATACCAATACTGAAGTTCTCACCATCATTACAGCATCTCGATCAATGCCTAGTCTATCGAACACGAGAAAAAGTGCACCCATCAGTGCATGAGGCTTCTTGAGATCCGCTGCAGTTAACGGATAGTTGGGGAAGCCATCATTCCAATTACTAATTAGATTATCAACCGTAAACGGCACGGCTGCACCTGAAGACGTGTAATAAAATTTATGAATATATGTAAACAATAAGTATCATAGCAATAAATATCAAAAGAAAAACATGAAAAAAGACTGTAGAAAGCTTACTTCTTTCCATATTTATATTTATCGCTAAACTAAGTAAATATTAAATAGTTGGAAGTCAAAATAATTTTCTCTCACATACACTATCACACTGAAAGCTAAATAAACTGAAAACTCGTACACATATAGGCTCAATAATCCTTTTAGACTATCAACGTGAAATAAATAAATCAAAAATTATATTTTAATACGGTTGAAATTAAAAGAGAACGAGTATGTTAAAATTTACAATTTTTTTATTTTTATCAGCTTCAAATTTTTTAAACTTTTAACGGATGTAATGTAGAATGAATAGGGTTACCAGTGTATTTTGTAGATGTTGGATACACTTTTTTTTTTTTCTACTGCTTAACTTAAATTAGATATATTTTCAGGAAGGATTAAAAAATAAATTAAAAGAACCGGAATGATGGATTGGAATTTATAGAATTATAGTTCCACGATTAATTTAACAAAGAAATCGAACATAATAGACAGAGAAATTTAGTAACTTGCAACCTCTTCGGTGACGTATCTACTGTCAAACGTCATATTCGTCAAACTTATAAACGTCATTCCGATGCCCTTCTCATTCGCTAATCGCGACTTTCCTTTCCCACTTGTGATTATATCAATTTCCTTAATAAATAATCTGTAAAAATTAATTTGTTTGATAATAATAATATTCAATAGTAAAAAAATGAGAATAACGAATGTGAGACGCGGCAGGATGTTCCGTTTAGCATCACTTTGTGCTATATTATTACTTTTGATTTACGCTGTTCATAAGTGGTCAAGTGAAAATTTAAGCAGTGATAGCAACGAACCTATTCTTTCTGAATCAGAAGTTGGATATTTTAAGTTCCATCGTGATGTATACCCAACTTTGAAAACAGGTAATACGAACGATGGTGTATAATACTCTTATATTTACAATGATCTAGGAAAGAACTGCGATATTACAGTTACTCGGCCTATTCCGCCGGCGTGTGTATTGTACACGTCGTAAAGCTTTGTTGTTGTTACGTTGGTGTGAACTATAAACAATAACTCGTTACTATTCACTGTATAAACATTTTTAATTAGCTGTAAAGGTGCTTATACTCTCATGCAATATATTTTATTGTTTTTCATATATGGTTCATAGTTATTTTACATGTACAAGTCTTATCAACATCAATTACTTTGTACATTTGGACCTATATACTACTTCTACTACTAACAAGCAATCCATTCCTAACTTAACACATTTTTATACTACAAACAAAAACCTTGTAACATGAACATTGTATTGTATACATGGGAGATTGAGATAACTGTTATTTTCCCATCTAGTGTTCAACAAACTATAAGCATATGATTATACTGACAATTATATTAATAATTTACTATAGATCTATGAACATCATTCGTATAGCATACATGAACAAATGTGGCTGCAGGACTGTGAAACTTGCCCTTATAAATATAAATTATAATAATATTCTACTGACTTTGGTGAAAAAATACAATTTTAAATAAAAATACTAATTTAAACAAGGATGTAAATGGACTCATCATATTGGATGCTCATTAGCTCAGCAAAAGGTGTATGTGGAGTAATTATTTTATATTGTAATATTATTGTACAACTTTATATATATATAAAGTTTATTTCTACACCAAGACCTATCCTATCTATCAGCCTATGAATATAATTAAAAATAAAACTATAACCAATTATAAAGCAATTTGTTTTAGAACTGGGAAACTTTGAACCTAGAAATAAAAAAGTAACAAAAGGTCCCGGTGAAGAAGGGAAGCCATACCACATGCCTCAAGATAGAGCTAATGACATAGCAGAATCGGAGAGTGAATATGGCATGAATATTGCTGCATCTGATGATATTTCCATGAACAGGTAACTATCAAATTAATCCTTTTATCTTTTATTATCTGTTTGTACAATATCTATGATTTTGTATTTGTAATGAGTGAATTATTTATGTTATTGAAAAAAAAATCTTTGTTAATAAATATTCAATAAGTCATATATATCTGTTGTAATATCTCTTGGCTGGAATTAGTGTTAAAACCTTTAATTTCCCTATTTATGTGACTCTAAATAGAATGAAGTTCTTAGTTTATTTGTATTTTTTTTTTGTTTGTCTTATTTGTTCTGTTTTCTGCTACACACACACACACACTATGTAGTTAATAAGTAAAAGACCTTATTTAAATAGAATATAGAATAGTGGAAATGAAATAGCTCTGTATACATCAAATATTTGGTATTCTATTATTACTATCTACCCTAGTAGGAGACAGATGTAATCGAACATATAAACAGATAATTTGCTATTTTAATTTCATGTATTTACCATTAAACAGCTGTGTTCACATGGCTGTTTCAGTTTAAAGAGTTAGATATGGCAGAGAAATTAGGGATAATATCTGTGTCCTCATGAATAGTAAAGCAAGGCGGGTACCATGACCATCACAATGTATTCTATAAAGTGCATAGTATTGTTCATATCTATAATGATTACCTCTTTCTATCTGCTTATTTGTCATTCTGAGTCAATTAAAAATATATAAATAAACTGAAATTAAATAAAGTATTTTTTTTTATGCAACATAGAAATCAAGCTAATGACCCACCCGACAGAAAGTGGTAACCATCACCTATAGACATGAACTAACCATGGAGTTAACAGAGTATACTGTTTCACCTTGAGGACTAAGGTACCTCTGTACCCTGTAATTTCACCGCCATATCATAGCTTTCAAACCAAAACAGTGCATTTCCATTTAAAACATAATATTACCATAGGACGATTCCTGATACTCGGTTAGAAGAATGTAAGTACTGGCATTACCCTGAGGACCTTCCAAGTACTTCCGTTATTATTGTCTTCCACAATGAGGGCTTCACTGTCCTCATGAGAACAGTGCATACAGTCATTGACAGATCTCCACCGAATTTACTTCATGAAGTGGTCTTGGTAAGTAATTATCAAATTTATAAATTTAAAATTCAAGGCATTTGACATCTTATTATTTCTGCATAACACAATAAGAGATTATCATGGCGTAACAAATGTTTATTATTAAATTAATAACACATATGTGTACATATATTCAAAGAAAAGTGCACAATTCATAAAGTTACATATATTCATTTATCACTTATTAATCTGTATGTACTGTAGGTGCTCATAAGGTAGTTCATTAGTTCTAAATGGAAAGAAAGAAATAAAAAATATAAATAAGAATTAAACATATATTCACCACCACTGCTCTCAAACACTGTCTATTTTTTAAGGAATGGTTAGCTGGTAGAGAATGTCATTAAGCTCGCCATTTGTACAAATTTTATTATGCAATAAAGAATAAATAAATAAAGTCTCCATAAATAGATATAGACTTATTTATAAATTATGAATAAGGAGGTCGCATTATACAAAACATGAAACTTCATATTGTGTGTTACTTAATCTAATTGTTTTATTTTGAAAAACAAATTGTAAGTATCTAACAATAAAAATCTCTTTAAACATTATTTATACAGGTGGATGATTTCTCCGATAAGGACAATTTAAATTACGAAAATATGGCACTTTGCATGATTTTTACATCAGATAAAGTTTCTCAAATTGGAATTGATAATAATTGTGAAATTAAGCTCTTTAATTTTACAGATTAAATTTTTTTTTTATTATTATTATTAATTATTTATTATCAACACTGCTAACAATATTATATAAATCTTATTTAAACAGGTGGATGATTTCTCTGACAAAGACAATTTAAAGGGCAATCTGGACAACTATATAAAGCGGTGGAAGGGTAAAGTAAGGCTGATAAGAAATACTCAGAGAGAAGGGCTGATCCGCACCAGATCTAGAGGCGCTCAAGAAGCTACTGGTGAAGTCATAGTGTTCCTAGACGCTCATTGTGAAGTGAACGTTAACTGGCTTCCACCATTGCTAGCTCCTATATACCGAGACTACAGAATTATGACGGTGCCGGTCATCGACGGTATTGATCATAGAACATTCGAGTATCGGCCGGTATACCAGCACGGCACAAACTACAGAGGTATATTCGAGTGGGGAATGTTGTACAAAGAAAATGAGGTTCCCGACAGGGAGAATTCACGTCACAAACATAAGTCGGAGCCATACAAAAGTCCGACCCATGCTGGAGGACTGTTTGCTATAAATAGACGGTATTTCCTAGAGATAGGGGCCTATGATCCCGGACTATTGGTGTGGGGTGGGGAAAACTTCGAGTTAAGCTTCAAGATATGGCAGTGCGGAGGCAGTATTGAATGGGTGCCTTGTTCAAGAGTTGGGCACGTGTATAGAGCGTTCATGCCATACTCTTTTGGTAACTTAGCTAAGAACCGCAAAGGTTCTCTTATTACTATAAACTACAAGAGGGTCATCGAGACCTGGTTTGATGAGGAACACAAAGAGTACTTCTACACAAGGGAACCGATGGCTCGGTTTTTGGATATGGGCGACATAAGTGAGCAAATTGCTTTGAAGAACAAATTGAAATGCAAAGACTTCTCTTGGTTCATGGAAAATGTGGCGTACGATGTTTACGACAAATTTCCTAAGTTACCAAAGAATGTCCATTGGGGCATGGTTAAAAATAAAGCCACTGGAGTATGTCTAGACACAATGGGAAAGGCTGCGCCTGCTTATATTGGTAAGATAAATCACTGTTATATGTATTTCATTACGTATATTATATATTTAACAGCATAAAGATGAATGACAATTCCAAATATGATTTATTATATACAGAGAATTTATAATTATAAATAAATAAAAAAAAAAAACACTTGGTCACTCACATTCTCGACACTGAATCCATCTTGACCCTCTTTGCTTATATTTTTGCTATCTAATGTAATAAAAAAAAAATAGCATATAATATAGTTAGTAATATTACAAATATAAAATCAGCAATTTTATATTGTACAGGCACCTCATCGTGTCACGGCGCTGGAAACAGCCAACTGTTCAGGCTAAACGAGGCGGGACAGCTGGGAGTTGGTGAACGATGCGTTGAAGCCGACTCCGAGAATGTTAAGCAGGCAATATGCAGATTAGGAACTGTGGACGGACCCTGGAGGTAATGTTATGACAATTATTAATAATATGTTATAATGTGAATATCTCATTGGTTTACTTGTATGTTTTGTTTATTATCTTTAAAACCTTCTTGGTTAATCATTGTTGAATTCCTCTCAATGGGTCAGCTGACTCGAATCCTCACCTATCTTCCTTAACTGGTGTATTTTTTTTTTTATGATAATGACATGATAACACCAACCGCGCCAACAGGTGCTGGTAGGAGCTACCATATTATTATCATCCTAAAAAAAAATAGAAAGTGAAACTGCAAAATCGTATTCCAATATCTCATCTCTGGAAAGGTATCCTTTGAGATTAATGATAGAACTATTACCATAGGAAGATTATGGGCTAGTTATATCCTATGGGAAAATAGTATGTATAATCTCTTACAGCATTCTAAATATGAAAAGAAATTGTCCTATTTATATACAACTAAGAATGCCAAACTATCTGACAGCCCACCTGATATAAAGTGGTAACCGTCGCCTATAGACATGAGCAGTACCATGGACATAACAGAGTATACTGTTTCGCCCATAATACCTCCCATGCGTTGCCATTCCTGAGGACTCAGATGTTATTCCTCTGTACCCTGTAAATTTACGCCATATCCCACCCTTCAAACCGAAACACAGCCATGCAAACACAACTGCTTCACGGTTGAAACACGAATGGGACAGAGGTACCCAAGCAATCGACTTTTGTACAAAGTCTCCCTCTGGTTCTTTAAGATGGAGAATGGCATTAGCTACTTTTTATTCCAGTTAATCATATATGCAGACGAAGTCGTGAGATAAAACTAGTAAGTAATCATACATCACCGTTTCAGATATGAGGATGAGCATAATCAATTAATCCACCGGCTGCATGGCTACTGCCTAACCCTGCAGCCGCACTCGCGGACCTTAGGCCTCGCGCCGTGCGACCCCAACAACACTTACCAGCAATGGACCATATCACACAAGAAACCAAACTGGTGAGACTGGTTCCACGTCTAGTTGGGAGATTGCTAGTAAGATATTCAGTAGTGATTCGAGAACATTCAGAGTCTTTGACCTTTTTGTAATGAGAAAAAAAAACGAATTTCAAGTGTCTCTCTGTTCGGATAGTAAGTACTACGAAAATAAGATACTTCAGTTTTTTCACTAAATTATTTAAATGCCATTCTTTTATTATTTCGAAAGTTTATGTGTATGTGTATCTTTTAGATGTGATGAAATCGATTCTGAAATATTATTAGCCATGTTGATAATAAAGTATTAATAATAAAAAAAAATATTTAATCTGTAAAATTAAAGAGCTACATTTCATAATCATTATCAATTTATCTGTCGATTCTAATTTGAGAAACATATCTGATGTAAAAATCTCACGAAGTGCCTTATTTTCGTAATTCACTATACGATTTGTTAAGCTCAACTGCAAGCCATAATAATTATTAATTAGTGATCGGCTATTTTTGTACTTAAACCTGTACACATTCCTATAGATTGAGAATTTTTAGAATCTCAATAATTGTTTAGTGATTAGATGTTCAGGTGTAAACATTTTAAGACAATTATTTCTAACGCAATAATATATTGAAACTTGCATAATTTGGTGTAGTAGTGACAGTTATCGTATTTTTTTTTTCCGCGCCTTTTCGCGGTCCATTCTACATGTTATTGTATAATGGAACGCTAACTTGTTCTTAATTTAAATATGTAAATTGAAATTGTATTACATTCATAATTGAAGCAGAACATTTTTTTTTTTTTTTAATTGAAATAAAATATTTCTTGTTCTGCAATTACCTAATAAAGGTATAATGCGAAATAAAATATCTCTAATGTTTTATATTGATCAGGAATTTTTTTTTACTTCATTGAATATTTCTTTGTTCAGAATATATATACTTACTGATGGAATACAGTATATACGAAATATGCTCACAAAATTTTCTCAAATCTTTATAGTCTATATATTATTGTTAAGTAAATCCATTCGAAAAGCTCATATTTATTGAATTTAACAGTATATGTTGTCACAAAAATGTGTAACACAAATCAATAAAAGAGTATTATTATATATATAAATGAATAATGCATTTATTTAATCATATTTCTATCAAACGCACGGCATTATTACAATTTATTCCCTAAGATTTAAAATATTATATAAAAAAAAAATTATTATTCATAGACCTCATACTCAAAATAAGTAATTGGATAAAATGCATTATCTAGAATACTTAGTTTTATTCCCAAGAGTGATGTTTACTAATTCGAGTCCAAGACTGGCCAGTAGGACAAATAGAAACAAGGCAGCATGGCCATTGACCTTAGCCTGTTCCTTATGGAACAAACCTTATAAAAAAAATTAAACAATAATAAATTTAGAACGAAAAAAAAAACAATAATAGTATTATACTGTTATCTTTATCGTGATAATCACGAATAATGGACGTCAACTAACACTTTCCGTCATGTATGAACCACATTTTTTTTAAATATCTACATACTCATTTAATATTAAGAATATACGGGAAAATAAAATTTAAAATGCACCGAAATTAGTGACTATAAATTTTTGAAGAGTTTTTCTTTTGTGTTCTGAATATGGAATTTTTTTGTGTGCAAGTAGGCGTTATTACGATTGTTACGAGTAGATAGGTATAGAAATAGTTGTGCACAACAGTAACGGATTTATGACCGTTTTAAATCATTATTACTTTTTTTAGTGACTTCTAAAAAGATGTTCTCAATTCGCCAGTATTTATTTTTTCTTTTTGTCAACTTACTTTAATCATTATTTTTACAATGGACAGAATTTATTTTCCTCTTGCCCAATGGGAGGCGTTGGTTTTTGAAAAGCAAAATCTATTTGAATTCGATCGCAACTATGACTGTTATTGGTATTTAAATAGCAACTATTTGTAAATACGTATATATATTTATTAGTATTTAGTTTACACCAGCCAGCTAGCCATTAGTATGTAATTTATGTCTATAACTTCAAATGCTCACTTGCCAGAGACATTTTGCATTTAATATAGAATTTATTTTAGTAACAATTTTTTGGCGAAAGACATGAAAATAATGTGTTTAAATATCTATTAATGTTGCGTCAAAACAAAAATTTTTGGTTAATTTAAAATAGGAAAAGAAGTTATTTAGTGATTTACTCTATGTTAATTAACAAAGTCCATTCCTTTAAATTCATGCTAGTATTCATAAATAACATTTCAACATTTTTCTTTTCCTTTAAGATTTTTTATATTGCCAAATACAAAAATAAAATTCTCGAAAAAAAAAACGAACACTGTATCTATACAAACGTCATTACACAATAATATGTATGGATTTCATTAATTAACATACTGTTTAATTAATTATATGGTTTCAAAAATCCATTCCTTTATCTTTATGAGTTTTGTGAGTGTTGCCATTAAGAAATTATCTCTTCGGTTTTTTTAAATTAATATAATTATTCGTCCATTCCATTCTCATTTCCTTGTACGTTTATTTTCTGTATTATATTTTATATTCGACAACGTTTAAAAATTATTGTGAAATGTAAATTTTGATATAAAAAAATATCTAATAAATTGCTCATTTCTCCCATAATAGTTATAAATTGTAATTAGTCTAGTAGGTACTGTTAACACTTAGCGTATTCAAATATTGACTGAACAGTTTCATAATCAAGTCGATTAACAACTTTGAGGAAACGAGAAACATGAACCGAAATAAACTTTACTAGTATGTTTACATTGAATTTATAATGTACAAGTGTGCCTGTTAACGCCATAATGACTCATTTGAATTCGATTATAAAATTTGCTATGCACGTAGTATTTAGAATGCAGAAAGACATTGGCTACTTATTATCCCATACGCGAGGGTGGGGAAAGGGATTGTTAGTAATGGAGACTGAGAATCCCATTGCTAGCAATATACCCAGCCAAGTCGACCTCCTCGCGGTTCTCCCTGGAAACTATCATGGTTAATTCCTGATGAATTCATCATGATGGGCTAACTGGCCTGTTTTCATTCTCATCTATCACCCTTCACCGGTGCCCCGCCAGTGTATCCCCTTAGCGCAGGCGGGGTTACCATACCATTTTCACCCATCAATATCCCATACGCGGCAGAAGACGCGAGTAGACACTAGTATGAAAATAATTTTTAATCGTAAAATTTGTTTGGATGGTTCAAAAATGTTTTCATTAGATACTAATTTAATATTGTAAAGTTTATAAAACACTATCTACATATTTAAACATGTAAGGTATACATTGGCACCTAACTTGGGAGACATCACTTGTATCAACATTAAATAGGTACACTTTTGTTTTAAAATGTAGCTCAAATCGAAGCGAGAATTGGATTATTATAATGCAAACACAGATGTTTTGTTATGCAAATTTTTGTAGCTACATCTATAATAGTTTTGTAATTTTATTAGTATCAATTACGTATATACGAGTAGAATGTATGCGTATGTGTGTAACAGGCCATGAGGCCATTAGTCATGAAAAAAAATACTGAAAAGTAACGTACGGATTCAACAAAATATTTGATTATTAGTAAGGTTTTTTTTATTCAATACTCATTCAAGGTACAGAGGATTAACACCTGAGTTCTCAGGTATGGCAACGCATGGGGAGTATCATGGGCGAAACAGTATACCCTGTTATGTCCATGGTACTGCTCATGTCTATAGGCGACGGTTACCACTTTCCATCAGGTGGGCCGTCAGCTTGTTTGCCATTCTAAGTTGTATAAAAAAAATACTCGTACAATTTCTTTCCAGTAAAAATTTAAGTAATTACCGCTCAGTACTATGATAAACAATATGGGCTTGTTACCAATGAGTAAAGCATACATTTTGATATTCTGAAAATCCCAATAAAATGCAGTACAATAAAAAAAATAAGACCAAATATTTTAACAATATTATGGAAAATAAATTATTTCCGACTTGTAACAATTTCTATGTTAGGTATCTAAGTACATATATCAAAATAGTTCGTTGTTTTTATTCCTAGTATATATATGTATATTTTGTAATAAAAAAGTCCTGTACCCATATTACCTATCTATAGATACGAAATAGTTCTATTCTGTTTGATGTACCTACTTACTCTACATTTATATGTAATACTCGTTTTCAACTCAAACGTAAGTGCTGAGGCTTGTCGTAACCTAAATATTAATTTGTATTAGACCTTAAATACGGTAATTATATGTAAATTAATGTAAATTGATAAAAAATATACATGTAGATGTGTTTCTTATTTAGAGATTTATTATGTGTATAAATGGAAATAAGATTAATAAAAATAAATAAAACATTTAAGGCAACAAAAAGCAAAGAAAGGCAACATGTAAGGGTTGTCAGTGGAATCATATTGTATTCTGTTATGTCTCCAGTGCTCTTTATTATATTTACTTCCATTAGGTTGTCGTTTATTGTAAAAAAAAATATTATAATTATTTTGTTTCTAAAATATGGCCTAAGCATGTGTAAACAATGTTTAGATTATGAGATTATTAACGAGAAGCTATGAAGATTTTTTTTATGGATGGATGGATGATTGATAATAGAATGGTAGCTTGCACTAACGGTATACGCTAGTGGGGCACCAGTGAGGGAAAAGTGAGAAAAACAGCTGTAAAGGTTAGATTTAGGAGTTTCAGTGGAACGAATGTGAGCTACCAAGTGTTGAAATTAAAAGTAAATAAAAAGGTTTTATATATAAATACCTACTGGACTAATATTGTTATGTAATATATAACTGACATCGTATGCTGCCACTGATCTAGTGTATTGTACATAGCATATAATTTTGAATATACTTACTATTGTTGAAATAATCTACCATTTTTAACTATTCTGTAATAGTCTATTTTTTTTTTATTTTGCTTAAACACTGATCTTTAACAATATTATATTTTTACATGTTGGCAGTATTAAATTCAGGACAGGATATAATTATGTATTTGTGATTGTGCAATATATGCTCGTAATATGTATGTAAATATAATTTATTTGATGAATCAAATTCATTATACAAAAATATTATAAAAAATCAAAGCATAATAGGTAAACCTATTTATTTGTAAGCAGGGCCGTGCCTGGGTATATGGCCGCCTGCGTGCCAGTCTGTATGGCCGCCCCCAGGATAACATTAAAAAAAACTACTTTAATTTTTAATGTTTATTATACACAGGGCATCAAACCGGGAAAAAAATCAGTTTTTGGTTAACCGAAATCGGCCCAGTAAACAACTTGTAACGATTTGGCCGCCTCTTAATTTCGGCCGCCTGCGTGCGGTGCACGCAATGAACGCCCGTCAGGCACGGCCCTGTTTGTAAGAAGACAATCTTTTATGTTTTCAACGACTTGGTTTTATATATTAGCATCGGTAGAAATAAATTATTTATTGTTGGACAATGTTTATTTTTACCCCTGCATCCATTTAAATAGTATCGTGAATTTTAGTCTATAAATGCGTTCAACTACCTTATCAAAAAGAGTCGTGTTAAAACTCGCTTATCCTCGTAACTCAGAATTAATAAAATTTAGAATTGTTGATAAAATCTTTTATTACAAAAAATTACAATTTAATAAATGCTACAGTATTGTATTTAATAAGCAGTTACATTTGTTATAGTTTAACAATAATTTAGTTATATGATCACTAGTACATTTTGAGTTGTCTATTTTATAGAAACATATTTTTAATCGAGATTGCACAGGTTTACTACATTCTTTTTTTAATCGCACAATTAAAACCTATCAGTACATATAATTAATTTTTTACTTTAAATATTTGCAGTATAAGAAGGCAAGGTTATTTGTCAGTAATGAAAAATTAGAATGTTCAAATAATGTAGTTATTCTCCTAAAACTAAATAGGTAAATGACTCATCTCTGTATATTTAATGCTTCATTATCATTAAAAATATACTAAATTCCAAATATTGATTATTTAAAAGGTACAGAGTAAAAATTTTATTTAGTGAGCTAATATAAATCTTTTATGCAATAAGTCAATATTATGATGGCACTCTAAACCACCAGTCATTCCAATTAGATATTCTCTGTGTGGCATCTAGTATCGACCAATTAGGCGAAGGTACATCAGGAGCTAACCAATTAAAGTCATCAAGACTGTTCCAATTATTCACATTCTTATCTAATGATGACATATTGAAATGTTTCTCCAAATCTTGATAATACAAGTTGTATGGGGCAGTCCTAATTTCTGTACAGTCTTCAACAATACCTTTACTTGTCACATGTAGGTAAATGTCACATTTATGTGATGTATGCATTCTTAGTTGCTGACAAGCTGTGACTATTTTACAATGAGTACACTTCTCAACAAAAACAGATGATGTAACTGGTCCAGATAAAATAATGCAGTTGTCCAAATTTGTGAGATGTAGAGTCCCCATTACTCCTTTCAGACCTATAGTACAATTTTTTAAGTTATGTAAAGTTACATCCCGTTGGTAAAGTTCATTGTTCTCGAGCATCAGAAGCACATTTTCTTTGTTGTCGAACCCAAATAGTTTCTCGTCCCATTTGTTACTATCTGTTTTACCCGCTCCATCGTTTTCATCCAAAGAATTCTGTTTTTCGCAATGAGATTTTGGTAGCTTTTTCCTTGTGAAGCCAAATTTCTTACGTGGTGCGTACCTGTCCTCCAATTCATAACATTTAGTTTGTAAATTCTGCACTATTCCTAAATACTTTCTCATGTTGAACTCTTTAAGGAAAAATGATGAAGTGACCACATATTTTTGTAATTCATTAACTTCTCTTTTTATATTGTCAAAATGGGACGGGAGTATATTTATTTCTAATGTTGGTACTTGTGACAACAAATCTTCAATAGACTCTGATTTAATTTTAAATGCTCCAGCAAAATAATCCTCATTTTCATTACTAACATTCACCTCTTCCCTTGCCTTGTGTGCTTTCTGAATTTTCTCTAATCTCTGTGCATCTCTTTTTGATAATCTTTCTAATATGCTGTTCTTATCACTCATTTTCCTCCTTTTAATATGCCTTCTATTTTTTTATTTAATTCAGAGCTTTGATCAGTGGCTTGTTTTAAAATAGCTATTGTATCATGTGAAAATTTTCTAGTGTCTGTGTGTTTTGAACTTTCATCAAACTGTAAAGAATATAAAATGTTAATATTAATTTATATATTGATTCATAAAAAAAAACCTATAAAATAGATGATGACACAAATGGTAAGACTTTACAAAATGTCAAAATGGATCAAACCTTGATGAGTTTGTAAAATAAATGATAATGTAAATTTCTGTGTAACCAAAAATAAATATTGTTAATTCACAGAATTCACAAAAAACCATTTAATCTACTGTTAAAATGATTCTAATGTATATAAAACCCGGAAAATTGATAATAATGCACAAAAAAACATGTTACAGACAAACAAAGCATGCCACATGAATTAGTCCCACAATTTAAATTTGCAGTTTTTCTAAACAAAATATCACTATAGAGTTGAAATAGAGAACAAAAAAATTAATATTTTATCCCACAAAGAAAAGTAAGTACTATTAGGTCTTAATTAGTACGAAACCAATATCTGCTAAAGAATATAAATGAAAAATTGGTGATGTTAATAAAAAAAATTAGTTAATAAAAAAAAGACATTTTTCATATTGCTTAGGAAAATGTTATTAGGTCTAGAATACAATTTATACTATTTATATATTGTTCCCCATCTAGTCAATAAATAAATAAAAATGTCATACTTTCTAACGAGTTTTCAACCTTGTATTCTTAAGTTCAAATCTATTTATCAATATGTAGCATATTTTTATAAATCCTCTATTTCAACTGTGAATGTATTAAAGTCCAGAAAAACATCCCAATTAAAAACCACTATATACAATAACCAAATTCTTATAATGACCTTTTTAAGAAGCTCATCATCAGGTTTGACCACCTTAAACAGTGCTAAACCAAGGCCTCCGAATGTCACCACCCAAAATGCAGTCCTAATAGCAATGCTCATCTCACCAGGATTATATTTTGCCTTCGTTCGTCCAAACTTGCTTGTCTAGATCACGGGTCTTGTGACCGCCGAGTTTCTCACCTAGTTGATAGTAACCTTCTAGAACCCAGTTGTAATTATGGTACATATACAGTCGAAATGCTGAAAATACAAATAATTTCCATACATTATTTTTACATTTGAAAAAAATATTATTAATTTAGCAGAATGTTTATTTAGGTTAGTGCGTACTTATGTATGAATAATTGTACCAATAGGGCTGTTCATAAGATCCATTAGTGAAAAATTACGTAAAACATGGTCAATGATAATCGTAATGGTGATTTTGAAAAAAATATGTGTACTATTAAACGAAAAATATTATGTAAACTTACCTCTGTCCGTATTAAGTTTAAAGTAAAGGCCGTAAGAAACAGCAAATCCTAGTGTTTCCACGAAAAATATAGCTTTCAACGAGGACCCGATGAAACGCTTATATGCAGGTTTCGGAGTTTTTGTCAGCATAATATAACAGTATATTGATTTGAGGGTTTAATTTTGGGATTTTGCAGTTTTATTTTATAATCCCTAATCCAGATATGAAGTTAAGAAGGAAAAATAGCAATTGTCTTATTTCTTGGTGCTTGTCGCATGACGTCATAAACAGTCAAGTCAATTCATTCACAGATGTTATCTGAAACACTATTTCAACCACAGATGATAAAATCAACAGTTAAACTCCATAAACGTTCATTGAGCCTTATATTATCTTTATCTATGATTTGAATCGAGCATATTAAAAAAACCTCTGTGCCCATCAACGAAATTTTAGCTGCGCCTAGATTAAAACTCTTTATGAGTTTTAATCTAGGCGCAGCTAAAATTTGGATTCAAAAGTCCAACTATATACTAGTTTTGTTATTTTCATTTAAGTGTTTAGACCATAGACTTAGTATAACGTACTGATATATTATATGATCTAAAGTTTAAACCATCTTCAAAACTCTTTTAATTTAATTATCAATATAATTCTTTATCTATGTACACAAAGTATCGCTACAAACAATGTACTTGCGATGAAATAGCATAAAGCAAAATTAATTCAGGTTTTAATAGTCGCAGGCCGGATAGTTTTTTTAAATTGTGCTGCGCAAAAGCAGCATCGACGTTCACTCGCTATTCGATATATTTCTCTTTTTTTTTTCTTGAAGATGGTATAAAATCATTACATTTTATATTTTTTGATTTTAGATTTAGATTTAGTACAACGTACAAACTAATAAGCATCAGTAGAAAATGAAACATCTTCACTATAAATTAACTATGATGGCTTCCAGATTAAACGGGCGAAAGCATTTGAATGAAACATAGTATACGGATAGATTACTTCTTAATTGAACACACAGGTTTTTTATATATTGATTCGTGTAGGCAAATTTGCGGGAAAAATCAAGTTTGTACAAAATAAAATACCCGATTACATTTTTTCTATTTAGGATTGTTGCCTATATTCTAATAAAATTTTAATTTAACAGAATTATAGTCGACTTCATTAACAATTATTTCTTTTCCCATCTTGACGGATTTTCCCAAATTCTAGACTGCGCCTCGGCTTCTGCGTCAGGTGCTTCTGTAGGATAAAAAAAATATTTTTTTTTTAATTACTATTCATATCCCGCGCTTTATATTGTATGATCTATTGTTTGGAGGGTAGTATATGGCAGTGAATTTACAGGGTACAGAGGAGCGTAACACTCGAGTCCACAGGAATGATAACCCATGGGGGGTATCATGCGCGAAACAGTATACGAGGTCTGTCCGGAAAGTTCGTATAAAAGTGTTCTGGAATGCGAGAAAGAGGAGTGGGGAGGCCAGGTAAGCGCAGGACCCCTTCCTTATGTCCCTAACAATGCTTCAGTTCTGGTCTGACCGCCGTGCGGTGCGAACTGGCTTGTCACGCCATCTGTGAAGTTACCTCTTAACGAAACCCCGTCGGCATGGAGCCCGCTTCCGTTGAAGAGCAGCGCGTCGTAATCAAGTTTCTCTCGAAACTCGGCAAGAATGGCCGTGAAATTTTTGCCGATCTCAGAACAGTTTATGGGGATGATGCTGTGAAGGAACCAACCGTCCACAAGTGGCTAAAAAGATTCAGAGAGGGCCGAGAAAGAGTTCGATGTTCGGGGGATTGTCCATCAAGAATTCGTCCCTCCAGGCCAGACAGTTGATGGAAAATTCTACGTCGATGTGCTCAGACGCCTCAAAGCTCGTGTGGCACGAGTTCGTCCAGAATTGGCGCGAGAGGGGCGTTGGATTCTTCACCACGACAATGCCCCTGCCCACACCTCTCTTGTTGTCCGTGAGTTTTTGAGTAAAAATTCCATTACGGTGACCGAACACCCCCCCTATTCGCCGGATTTGGCCCCGTGTGACTTCTTCTTGTTCCCAAAAACTAAATTGGTACTTCGGGGGCGGCATTTGGGGGACATAAATGAGATAAAAAAAGCTACGACGGGGCAGCTGAGAAACCTACAACCAGAGGACTTTCAAGGAGCCTTCTCACAGTGGAAACGGCGTTGGCACAAGTGCATTATGTCACAGGGGGAGTACTTTGAAGGGGATAAAATTGATTTACCTGAATAATTGTAAAATAAAATTTTTAAAAAACTTTTATACGTACTTTCCGGACAAACCTCGTACTCTGTTATGTTCATGGTACTGCTCATGTCTATAGGTGACGGTTACCACTTTCCATCAGGTGGGCCGTCAGCTTGCTTGCCATTCTAAGCAGCAAAAAAATTTACTTCTCTACTAATGTATGGTATAAACACATATGTACCGAAAATGGTCTTAGAAGATACCTGTTTCGTCTTCTGTACAATCTTCTTCGCACTCTTGGAACTCGTCTGTAGATTCACTTTGACATTCATATGGAATTTCATTCATTTTGCTTGAACCCTAAAATAAGAAGTAATATTGTTATGAATTTTTTAAATGGAGAAAAATAGTATAATATTGTGCGATATTTGACTATCATAAATTTCAAAATACATGATCAGAGCGTTGGTCGTTTAGAGTCGGTTTTTCAGAGAGCATTGTTTCGGAATATATTTAGTTAATACCCGAGCACCTACATAAGTAAAACTTACTGGAATATATTTCTTCGTGCCACCAATCAAATGGTACCGGAATCTAGATTGGAATCCTGTTCTTTTATTATCGACGCATCTACCTTCACACGGCATCCACTCTTCCCAAGTGGTCATTGGGCACTTATTCGATGACTCTGGATCAGGGGTGACTGGTTCTTCGCTAGAAATTGAAATAAAATTTTATTGTTACTTTCAAAATGAACAATACAATGTCATATAACTAACTATCATCTGCAGCGCCTAACGTTGCGCTTTGAGATCTTGGAATTAGGTGATCAAATATGTTCAAATCATATGTCAACTCGGCTTTGTTCGTAATCGTATTGTGATGTTGAATAACCGATAACCTTTCTTAAGAAATGCGTCCTTTAAGTTCAAATAAACAAGCTTTCTCTTCTATTCGTTGTATAAGTACTCGTATAAATAATTAATTATAGGCAGACCTCTTAGTCGTAGTAATCGGTTGTATTTCCTTTGAAGTTTCTTCATCACCTTTCTCATCTTCATCAGTATATTCTTGGCCTTGATCATCTAAAAATAAAATCAAAACTCTATAATTTCAATTCTTTTATATTGCAATTGTTGTCTACGATGTGAAATCGACATCAAAGGGTAGGAGATTCTTAGTTCGGTTGTATTGTTTTTATGTTTGTTATCTCGTAAATCTGTGAGTTATAAACCGATTTGGGGAATCACTTTTTTATCTGGAGTTTTTAAATAAAATAACTGGCTTTACCGCAGTTGAAATCGGTTTCTTTTGTGGAAAACAATCTTAAAGAAGTCGATGGAATTATTCAATTCTTTAACGGGCGTGTGCATTTGCAATTGTAGTAATTACCAGTAGCTTCCGTAGTGGCCCCAGTGCAACTTGGAGTGCTATACGTCCGTATCAGGTCGAACTTCAATCTGGCCATCGGCTTCATTTGTTCTCTGGGTATGCCTTTTATTGATAACGATGATATCGGCTGTGGCGGTGAAGTTTCCTCGTTTGGTGACTGTGTCAAAATATACATTTTAAACGATCCAAACTTATCAAATAACGGTTTAACACTTAACATTCAAATTTCGCAATCTGATATTAATTTCGAACGGGCTTCTTCGAATAAAGAAGTAGTTTAACTGGTAAGAGCTCTAGCCCTGGCATAGCATAGAAGGTTCGAGTATAAAATTTTACAATTACTTTGTAATTACTGAAATTTGTTTTTCATATTTTAATAAAAGTTCATAGGTAAGTCCCACTGTTTTCGGTCTAGTCGCGTATATATCACTGGTCTCCCGCACATCCATCTTAGAAGAGTTAGTAATAAACCTAATTCAAATCTATATATCACAGCAATTCGGACCGAATGAGTGAGGTACACCACGGAAAAAATATTATTAGTTAACAAATTTCTCAATCAATTTGCCATATTTTTTTCTCGAACTAATCTAATGCTGTTGACTATAGATAGCCTTTAAAATTTGGCATCGCCATATAAATAAGAGCAAAATGTTTAAACTTATTATTTATATTTTCGGGTACACGTTAAAAATTTTATTTTCTAATATATATTATTTGAATTATTATTATTTAGTACTATCACTTATGCTGTGCTATTACACCAATTAATATGTTCTCGATCTGCCATATTCTTGCTTATGTGAAACCAAACAGCAAACTTGTAACACGACAACCCAGTACGCCAGATCGTATTATCAAATTCATTATGAGAAACTCGTCTTTTCAGCCTATTTAAAAAAAGAATTCTTGATTCAGTTAATTTTTTTTTTGTATTTATCGTCTCTGATTGATAAACCGATTTGGAACATTCTTTTTTTATCTGAAACGATATACTTTCAGATTGGTACCACTGAAATATTATCAAAATCTGTTCACTAGTTTGATTTATTAATTAAAGTAACTGTTTTTTTTCCACTATAGAAATCAATGCTTTTTTGTGGAATAAATCTACTTGAACTCCGTCACCTTAGAAAAATAGGAAATATTCTGATGTTCTTTACTTCAAAAGTCTGGCCGCTGTCCGTACCGGCATCCATCGGGTAGAGATTCAGAATCGCTGTCTTCGTCCACTGGCCTTTCCCATCACAAAGTTCCATGTTGGATACACCTAAGAACCAGTCCGGGGACGGTAGCACAGCGGTAGTCAAAGATACCAAATGGTGTTCAGGACTAACCCGGAAACTGGCGACTGTGGTGTCAATTGTCGTTCGAGGACTGGTAGCTTTAATAATAGTGCGCACATTTGTACCTAGCTGCAAGAAAAATAAATAAATCTCTAAGTCATTACCATCATACAGCCGTTAATTGTTTATTTCTACTGCGTTCCCATAAAGGGAGGGTTTGCCAGCAGTTGCCAAGCTTGGCAAACCTAATCTATAAGTACATTCAAACAGTATTTAAACGTTTATAGCAGTTTTGTCTATTATGATAACCAAAGTACTTAAAATAATCCCTTCTTTCTAAGTGGACGCGGATGTTATAAAACGGAAAGATGATTAAAATACTCATTTAGAAAGAACAATGTTTATCATTAATTCACAAGATATTTTATATCCTAATTTATGCAGGAAAAACCGCGAGGTTAATTATAATGCAAACAAAATTTAGGTACATACCTCTTCCTGAATATCCACCTCAAATTGGGTAGTGTTCCCTTGTTCTGCTAACATTTTCAGACCACCACTAGCATCGGCATTATTTTTAAATAGATTAAAATATGGATTATGTGAGGCTCCAACCAAGTCACTGAAACGAGCTAAACCTCTTGTCTCTGGGAACATCTGAGGGTGCGTGTTGAAGGTCCACATGCCTTCAAATGTTACCTAATTAAATTAAATTATTATTATTTGTACAATATTGATCTATAGTTTATACTATAAATGAATAACTAGAAATTTGTTTTTCTGCAAAAAATAAGAATTTTAGAAGTGGAAATGATGGTATAATCCCACGTATAAATTACCTACTTGATATCTCGCCTCCTCACATGCAAGACAGTTCTCATTCTCCATTGGCTGCATGTCTTCTGCCTTGCGTCGATCTTCGCATACCCGTTTTGACAATGGACCTTCGAAACTGTACCACACATCAGGCTTGACAGCGACCACAGCGAAGATTGTTACGCATTTATTCCCTTTATACGGTGCTATCCAGAGTGCCTATAATTCATAAAAGTTTCATCCTAGATAGAAAATATCTAAGTACTTAAAATTTCACACAAGACTGTTAGACGATTCAAATCAAACCTGAGTTTTCATTCCCTAAGCATGTCTTTTAAACTAAAATTATAATCTGATTTTAAGTTGACTTGTTACTTCGCCACTATGGCTGTGCTGAAGGAAACTTATTAATTATATAAATTGCTCCTTGTGATTTTGCTGAAAATTTTGCCCAGTATAAAAAAGCAGATATGTCATTTCATTTTCATCAATTAAAAAACCCTGTTACCTACTCATTGCGAATGTTTCTTTTACTAGCATTACGTATAAATTATTAACTTTTTAAAATATTATTTTTACCTCAACAAAAGTTTTAGGCATAACGTCTGTTTCTATGACAGTGTTATTACATTTGGGATGAACTTTCGAGGCGTTATCATCACGCGAAGGTATCAGCTGTCCAGGATGTAGATGTTTAGGCTTTCTGGGATTTCTTTCATTGATATCAGTATCCTCTCGAACGGATATAGTGAAACCCATAAATGTTGATGTGCTGTCTCTTGAGTACAGACGAACTGTAATGTAACAATAGTTTCAATAAAATAACAAACATACAGCCAATTTATTTGTAGCAGTTGAAATATTAGCGATTATAAAATTGAATCGTTCAAATCTTTTTTACTTATAGCTAGTCCTAGTTTATTTTGAACTAAATCAAATAAAATAGATGATAATGATAAGTAGATAAAATTTTTACGAAAATATGTTTTTATAAATAAATATACAATTTTACCTTTATACTCCCTGTTTGGTATGTACAAATCGCCAAAAGTATCCACAACATCAATAAAGAATCTATTGTCTGGTGGTAAAGGAGCAGTTTTTGAGCCCAGTGGTCGTCGATCGCAAAGTTCATCATTGCCATGTGTTACACTTACTAATAATAATAGACATATTCCCTGGCAGATACCTGGTTCATATAAAAGAAAATAGATGTGACAAAAATGGTATAACAGTCTCAAATCAAGACAGTTTCGGGCTATTTAAAAACTGCGCTATAGTCAGAGAAGTTCTTGCGTTTAATAAAATTCATTACGAGTTTTGGAAAGTCTCTTGACTTGAAACGATACGACTTCATCTTTATCTCCCTTCTATTATAATGTTCATGAGATCGTCATGTTGTATTAAGTATTCCAATATTTTCTTTTTTTCTGATTTAAAGAGTAATAAAATTGTTTTTCTTTATTCTATATAGAATGTTTGTGTACTGACATCGTATATATAAGGAGTCTTATTACCAAGTACAGATCATCCTTTTATTTTACCAGATATTCTTGTTTCAAGGTTAAATTTTTCATTTGTTTTTGAAGATATTTATGAACTAAACAATGTTATGGACCTTCACAGATGGACAAGGACGCGGGACAAAGATGGATAAAGACGCTATCATGGCATCAATAAATGAAACATAAACTATAAAAACACTTACCAAAATAGTAATCAGCAATCATGAGTCCGTATTCTTATCTAAGTATGGGTATCTAGATATTTCTGCAGTAACTAAAACAGTGTTAGCGTTGTTACAAACCGGTCAGTTTACGTATGAAGTAGACAGATGCGTCTCAATTGATGTTCGCGGACTAACTGCTTCATTAACAATTAAGTAGAATAATATCGTGCTGTAAATTGCATCCAATTTTGACCAATTTACTGTGACTGTCGTAAAATTATATGCCAAGCGAAATTACACTTTGATACTTCGAAATAACGGGTTATTGAAAAATATGATTATTTCGCTAGTTGTAAAAAATAAAGCAAAGAAAATTTTTTATACCTATATCAATAAGCTTATAAATCTTAATAAATTTATTAAATGGGTAGATATGTTTACAGTCCACTTTTTATGAATTCAGTAGGTACATACAAATAACATTTAATTAAAAGAACAATCGCAAAGAAAAAAACGAAAATTGTTATAAATTATTTTATTAATAATATTAAAATAAAAATACGAGTACAACAATATTATTATTGGAATAAACTTATAACAATAAGTACACAATATTATACAGTACCTATCCAATACAAGTTTTATAAAGAAACACGGTTCTTATAAACTAGGAAAGAGAATAATATGATGATGAAGTGACCAATAGTAATAATAACGTTTTCCTAAATGTTAAATATTATAATTTACAAATCTAGAACCCTTATTAAAAAATTTATATAAATGTATTGGATTAGTGTTTTGATTTAGGAGTATCTCTCTTATTCGACCTCCAAGAAGTACCCGGAATTATAGGTGGCATTACCCGACGTCCAGCTGAAAATGAAATAAATACAAATTAAAGAGAGACCATATAAATAAAAAAATATCTAGTAGTTAATCTAAGACATGGTGCAACTTTTAATTTATCAAAATCCATACAGCCGCTTAAACATGATTGAATAAGTTAAAATATTTACAAATTTTCAAATATTATCGTTACCTATTAGGTAAGAAGGCAATATAACATTATAGCGGACACGTCTTTTCTTTCACGTTCTTTTTTTTTTCTTTTACACTTTATGAGAATACCGAAAGATAAATCCTATATTTTATTCATGTAATAAATATCAAGGGTAATTTACCTGTAATATCATTGCCATTTTCTTCATCAACATTATCACCTGTACAGTCCTCCTCACATTCGCTCCTCTCAAAATCATCAAACAGAGCTTTACAGAACTTCGATACTTCTTTTTTGGGCGAACGCCAATTCTGCAATAATCATAAACCTGTGTTAGTCATTTTTATATATAGAAGTAATAAATTTTCTTTAAATATTTGCTAAATACTTTTCCAATTTGTATACCCAAAGTATTCAAAGATAATCTTTTTCTCTATACTCGTATTTAATATCAACATTTAATTAATTATCCAACGAAATGTTTATTTATTTATTTGAATAACTTTATTGGCCAAAATAGAATAATGTACAAAAGGCGGACTTATGCAACTAGCATTCTCTACCAGTCAACCTTTGGGATGAACAGAAAATCACGAACGCGGTATTTCATATATTTTCAAATATCTGTCGAGGCAACAAAATATACATTATCACTCACACTGGGATCATATTTTTCAACAGCAACTCCATCCACTAAATGATATCGTTCCCTCCATTTGTATCCTGAGACCTTCCCTCCCTCGCAAGCACCTTCGCATGGGCTCCATTCCTGCCACTGGGATATAGGACACTTCTCTGAAGACTCCGGATCAGTTTCTATTGGACTTTCACTGAATTTAAATCATATAGCTTCAATAATGTGTAAGACTTTAGATAGATTTAATAAAAAATAAAGTCCCTACTAATACAAATTTCGTATGGCATTTAATGGGCCTGAGCAAACGTAACGTAGAGTATTTCTTAGTAAGATAGCGTGAACATTTCGCCAAATTGCTGAGAACACTTAAGTGTTTTCAGCAATTTCTCCTATTTAAATAAGGAAATGGCCTACGTTCGGAAGGCCTTGAATCATTTATTGAAAAGAATGTACAAAAATAGACCTTGTTTTGAATTTTCCTGAAAAAGAAAGCATTCTTTGAAAATTTATCAACGTCCCACTTAAAAATATCAACAGTGTCTTTCCAGGCTTTACGAGGCGCATATATACATGAAGACTTGGAAACGGATAATAGTCTTTTATTACCATGCTAACTAGATGGTTAAGTATAAGTTAGATAGATAGATAATTTATTTGCATTACTTACAGCACACAAATTACATATATTGATATATATAAAAAGCGAGATAACATAAATGATTAAAAAAAATACACATAAAGCTAAATACAATTTTTCGTTTGTGCGTGTGCCATAACAATACAATATGGCCACAACTCAGTTTATTGCTTCGCCCTCAAAAGAGCAAAGTCATTACTTTGAGATTTACTTCTCTTACACGTATTATTATTTGCTTCCATAACAACTTCCTAGGATATTCCAGAGATGATGAACTCCTACTCCATCACTACACAGATAATGAAAGCACGAATTTGGGTAACTTATAAATAGTAAAACATCCATTGTGATTATTTGATGATCTAATAAAATTAATACTATACAATTTTATAATTTACTTGTAAATGCTTGCCGTGTGGTCCCGGCATAGGATAGGCCTAATCTTTTCCTGTGGGTACCGTGAGAGGCAACTAAGGGAACTAATTGGCCGAAAGATGGGCAGCAGTCTCGTTTTTAAAATATCACCAGAGTTTTATAGCAGTTGCTAGTTCGCCTGCAAGTGTGGCAAATTATTGGCAAATCCTTATAGAACCCCCTTATGGAAGAAGCCTATATTCAGCAGTGGACAACAAACAGCTCATATGAAAATAATATAATTAATAAAATGTTCTCGAAATATAAAAGTAAGTACAAAGGAAAGGCGAGATCAGAGAAAGAACATGCCTCACCCGTCGTCGCCGCTAGGTATTTCTGGATTTTGATACCTGGAGGGTTCATCTGGTTCAACTGGATTGGTTTTGACTTCCTCTTCAGTAGGATTTTCTTCTGTAGATGGACTTTCTTTTTCACCTTCTAAATTTTACACAGAAGATATTATTTTAAAATATTTACATTTTTTTGAATTAAAATCTTTTAAAAAACAAACCTTCTTCCGAAATTTCTTCACATTCTCTGTGATAAGTTCTCATTAATTTTATGTAAAGTCGTCCAAAAGGGTGTAAATCTTTCATGTCTATCTCGTAAAATGGTGAATTTTTGTCATACGAACTCATTTGAACTCGGGACACCGCACCTTGTGGAAATGTTTCAATATTTGGTGACTGAAAAAGTAAAAACAAATGTGACATTAGACAATAAGAATGAAGCCATTATTTCAATACATTTTGTAACTTTGTTATTTTTGAATTTTCAGTTTTCAAATGATTATTCTATGTAGATACATTTAAGTTATAAAGTTAAAAATATAAACTTTAAAATTATTATAGCCATGATTTTATAGAGACTCTTGTATATTTTTATTTATTATTAGATTAGGACTCATGTGGATAAAAATACGGACTAATCGTTTTTGTATTTGTCTGTGACTAAAAAATACAATTCAAAAAACTTACATTTGTATCGATAGCTCAATATAATCTTACCTCATACGACACACCACTATCTGTACCAGCGTCCCAAGGGAACAAATTTAGCTCCCTTTCTGGCAGCCATGTGTTATCTTCCTGACACAGTTCAAATCTAGTCACTCCTAGGAACCAGTCTGGTGAAGGAAACAAACCTATAGCTACTGTGACCAAATGGTGGATTTTGTCAGTTCGGAAGATTGCTAGTGCTGGATTATTCATTTTTCGATAGCCATGTCCCTTAGCTTTTATTAAAGTTCGTACTCCATCACCCACCTTAAAATTTTGAAGACAGCGAATTAGTTCAATATAAATGATTGCAAAATTAAGAATTATTAAAAATATACCCATATTACTTTTTCCAAAATTTCAGCTTCCAGCTTGCTTGTGTTAGCGTGTTCAGCTAAATCTTTCATTCCTTCTGTAACTAGACTACCAGGAGTCCATAACACAAAGTCGGTGCTATGTGATACTCCAACCATATCACTGTACCGTGGTACCCAGTCGTTTTCTGGATACAACTGTGGGTGAGTGTTCCGTGACCATATACCAGTGAAGGATATCTAATATAACCAGAAAAAAAATTGATATTTATAATAAAAAAAATAGCTATACAGATACTTATGATAATTTTCAGCTGAGAAATCGATTTACTTCTGATGTATAATTTTAAAATACAATTTAAGTTTCAATATACATATATTGTGTGTTAACATCAATTCATACAATACTGTGCTATAATATATGAGTTAAATTAAATTTACTTGCCCGTATATCTATACTTAATTCGGTGATTATTCACTAGTATTACTAAATAACACGAGTACTAAATCTTTATAGACTGCAATGCAATGCAATGCTTTGCAAACAAAGGCCTTACATTACATTTAATTAATGAATAAATAATAAAATATTACTTAAGCAGTTGACACATAAAGATGGTTTCACCTCATATTTAGCTTCATCGCAAATCTGACACTCGTAGTTCAACTGCGGGGATACATCATCTGGCTGCCGTAAATCCTCGCATATCCTCATTGTTAAAGGTGACCCATCCTCGAACCATAGGTCTTCGTTTTCTGCCACCATAGCACGTAAAGTGACGCAACCATTTCCTGTTGGAGGAGCCTGCCAGTACACCTAAAAATAACAATATTTTTTATCTAACTTCACGCCAAACTATTCCCCTAGTATGTTTCTGTTAGTAACAACTGCTTAAGAACTTTCTTCTGTTTAAAATCGGCTAAAAATCTTCTAAATCCGATATAAGTTCTTAGACATCGTAACATAATTATTTAATAAAAGCAGATTTAATTTTTAACTACTGTTATCAGATTTTTAGTCAGTGCCAACAACAGAAACTGAATCAAATGTAGCATTTTGCTAGTGCAGGATTTGACCCAAAAATAAAAATGCTCCTGGATACTTTTATTTTTTGGATTTGGAATTGGAAAGAATTAGGTGATTACTAACTTCAATAGAAGACTTATAAGAGCTGGTAGCTTGTTCTACGGAATACAAGCATCGATCACTAAATCTTGCTGTAGACGGATCTTGAGGTCTTATGTCTCCAGGGAACTGAGATATCGTCCTCCGCGGGTTGCGAGGATCTGGTTTTGTATCGCCCTCAGCGGATATCATGAAACCCGTGAATTGTGATTCCTCATCTGTCGCAGTTATTTGCACTGCAATACAAAAAAAAAATATTATAATAATATATATTTTTTATATGCAACTTAGAATATCATACAAGCTGACGGCCCACCCATGATACCCCCCATGCGTTGCCATCCCTGTGGACTCAGGTGTTATTTATTTATTACAGGTCTATCTATTTATTACAGGTCAATCAAAATTCCTGTACTTTCACTCTCGTATTGTGAATGAAGCATAAGATCAGTCTAATGGACAGATAACTTAATTTAAGAAGCTACCTTTATAATTTAATTTTACCTGTATAAAGCTGCTCTGGTATGTAGCTAAAATCGGTGCCTAAAAGTTTTAATTTAAATCGACCATCTGGCGCCGAAGACGGCGATGTGGCTCCATACGGTCGTCTGTCACATCGGAAACTTGAAATTTCGTCATATGTAATAAACAAAATGCACAATATCACGAGATGTTCCATTGAATTCATAATTTATATTTTTTTTTACTTTTTATATTTTGTAACAAAACATGAGTTCTAAAAGAACAACAAGGGATGTTAATACAATTTTTAGGCTTGCCTATTGAGATATTAATATTGATACTTAGTCTTTACACCTCTGACTAGAATGAATAACTGCAGTGCTCTGCCTCGACAAACTAAAATAACTAAATTTTGTATTATATGCAATAGAATACAATTTACGATAACAACAACACAGCCCTGCAATAAATGGTTGCTACTGCCATCTGAAAAATAATGTACTGTAAGCGATAAAGAATAAACTCTAATTTTCAATGACTCTTCGTGTCTTTAAACTATTGTTGTGGGAAACTGCAACTGAATTTGTTTGAGATCATATTACTTAGCTTAATCGCTAGGTACTCTAGATAAAAAAAAAATGATAATGACAATTACATAAATAATAAAAAATATGATTGTGACAATATTAGTACGGAATCGAAATAAACCCAGTTGACTGCAAAAATAATCATCAACATCGATACAGACCTGGCGAACATATTGCGTAACATCGCAAAAATACAATCTAATTTAAATAAACGTTTCTTTCTGAAGTTGGATGAAAACAAACTTTAATTTACATCCAGTATTTTCATGCCTACCTAATCATGATAGATTGATAATATTATTTATTACTGGCCTTACTGTACCTTATTATTAATTTATAAAAATATTACATTTTAAATTTTGGCGTTCCTTTATTTATTCCAATGTTAAATAATTGTTGTAAAACTTGTCAATAAAATTTTTAAAGCTGTTATATGATGTTCTCATTTAGTATGTTCTGTAAAGTTTTTAATCTTTATATAAGTACTTAGCTCACAATGAGTGTATACTTATATTACTTAAACTTCTGTTTGGTAGATATTATTGGTGGTACATAACCATTACTTGATCCACTTACCTACATTCTAAGTAACTATAATATTAACTGTTTAATTGCAGCAAATTAATATTAATTGACACAAATTAACGTGTACGTAGTGTGAAAGTGATACCGTCGGTCTCGGTTGACGAAGGCGTGCTGTTATATTTCGTTCCCGTGAGAATTTTAGGAACAGGTCACATAAACTAATTACTTGGTTAAACTAATACTATTATTATTATAATACTAAGTACAGTTTTTTTTAAATGTTTATATAGGCCAGTCAATTATGATAATTCTGTACTATTTTGATAATATTTAATACTACACGTAATTATCTTTAGAATTATGTATCATAATTTGAGCCAACTACTCAAATTCCAACCCTAGCAATAATTCATTTAAAGGTGTATATAAAAACAGCCTTGATATGGTATATGTACTATTGTGATAAATTTAGTAAGGGGAACATATGGAAATCCACGTGACATTTTAATAGATGATAACGAAATGGTAACTCCACCGTCGCTAGCGCGTATAGCGTTAGCAAAGATACCATTTTGAAACGCCAGTGAGTGAAGATAAGTAAGATTCAAAATTTTAACACGATAGTTTACAAGGAGATCATAGAAACTAACATCCCTATTACGGGGGAAAGGGATTGTTAGTAATGGAGACTGAGAATCCTATTGCTAGCAATATACCCAACCAGGTCGACCTCCTCGCGGTTCTCCCTGGAAACTATCATGGTTAATTCCTGATGAATTCATCATGATGGGCTAACTGGCCTGTTTTCATTCTCATCTATCACCCTTCACTGGTACTCTGCCAGCGTATCCCGTTAGCGCAGGCGGAGTTACCATACCATTTTCACCCATAAAAAAAATTCCTATTACTGTCAATCCTTTTTCTTTACCTCTTTGAAGGAAAAGGATTGATAGTAATAAGGATATATTGCTAGCAATCCCCATTACTAACAAACTTTTTCCCTATTAATATGAAATACCTTAAGTTCTTGGCTTGGTGCAAATATAAATAGTTAGACGGCTCTGTACATAATCTCGGGACATTCATCAATTGTAAGGCAGACAATCATATCTATAGGCGACGGTTACCACTTTTCATCAGATGGGCCGTCAGCTTGTTTGCCATTCTAAGTTGTATAAAAAACCTGTCTTTTATAAAACAAGAAACAAAATAACTTTGTCTTTTTTGTATACACGGACACGTATATGTAAATGATCGTTTAGGGTCTCTATTTGATTATTTGTGGCACAGAATAAATATTGTATCTGTGCATGGCTTTACTCTATGTTTAATGACATCATGACGGCTGACGGTAGGGCGGACATCTGTATGTCAAATTATTTATTTATATTATTTGTGAACCTAGGTGTATTGGGATATTATAAAAAAACTGTTTTAAAACAGTATCAAATGAGATAAATGTCTACAGAGCCCATAAAAATGCCGTCAGCAACGAAAGAGAAGGATTCAACGATCCTCAAAATCGCAGTGGAAATGTTAAATGCTCCTGACAAAGTACCCCAGCTTATAGAATTCGATCAAAGTCAACCTCTTTCAAGTATTATACAGCTCCTGTGTAAGACTTGGGGTTTACCAGACCCAGAGAACTATGCTCTACAGTTTTCCGAAACCAATAACCAGAATTATATTACAGAAAAGAATCGGAATGAGATAAAAAACGGCTTGGTGTTGCGACTAGAACAATCGCCTGCTAAAACAGTGCAGGACATTTTAGCCAAAATAAATTCAGGCACTGAAATTGAGCAAACCATTGCACTAACCAAACTGGCAACATTGAGTAGTGATCTCACATTTGCTGTTGAATTTATCAACAAAAAAGGGTTGTCACTCATCATCAGCACAATTGAAAATGGAAGGTTCAAAGGGAATTCCTTGAAATTCGCTCTAGTCACATTTGTAGAGCTTATGGATCATGGAATTATATCTTGGGACATACTAGAGAATCCTTTCATCAATCGAGTTGCAAGTTACATAAACAATCAGACGACTGCACAAGACCCTAAAGTCATTCAAGCATCTTTATCTATACTTGAAAATATTGTGGTTAACAGCTCTGGTAAGAAGTCTCATGTTGAAAAGGAAATAACAATTCCAAGTCTGGTCTCACATTTGCAGAACCCATATCAGGATAGTATTATTCAACAAAATGCCATTGCTTTAATAAATGCAATCTTTTCAAAAGCAGATAACAGTAAAAAGAAGGCTATTGCGGCAACTTTAGCTTCAAAACAGGTTCGCAATGTTATTTTTGAAAATCTAATTGCCGTGGGAGAATTATCCTCAAAGAATCAATCTAAAGATGCCCTTGGAACTGAATTAGCTCACCAGTTGTATGTCTTGCAAACGCTGATGCTTGACCTCCTAGAACCAAAATTACGACAGAGAGCTGACTATCACGAACAAGAGTCTCATGAAAAGATCAAGGAATTGAGAAAGATAGCTTTTGAAGGTGACAGCAATTTCAATATGGAAGTGACTATAAGACGCCAACCAGGAAGTCTTTCTAAGGACCCAAAAAAACTTGGATTCAAGTGTGAAATTGATCCTATTAAAGACTTCAATGAAGTACCACCTGGAGTATTGGCTCTAGACTGTATGGTGTACTTTGCTAGAAATTACACAGAAGAATATACAAAAATTGTTTTGGAGAACAGTTGCAGAGCTGATGAACATGAATGCCCCTTTGGAAAAACCAGTGTGGAACTTGTTAAACTCCTTAGTGATATATTACACATAGGAGAACCAGCAAGTGAACAAGGACAAACATATCACCCTTTATTCTTTACCCATGACCATCCTTTTGAGGAATTATTCTGTATTTGTATTGTTTTATTGAACAAGACCTGGAAGGAGATGAAAGCAACTACAGAGGACTTTGTTAAAGTATCAAGTGTTGTTAAAGAACAAATCAGCAGGGCATTGTCAGCATCACCAAAAAGTTTTGATAAGTTTCGTCAAAAAATTAATCATTTGACATATCCTGAAATAAGACAGATATGGCAACAGGAACGCACAAACAGAGAAGTATGGGAGTCACATGCGAAGCCAATAGTGGAACTGCAAGACAAAATAACTCCAGAGATAGTTGAGTTGATCGAACGGCAAAGGTTAGGAGTATTAGTAGGTGGCACCAGGTTTAAAAAATATGCACAGAGACCACAAAGGACAAAAGACAAATTTTGGTTTGTCCGTTTGTCTCCAAACCACAAAGTATTACATTATGGGGACTGTGATGAAAAAAGCACACCAAGTTTAGAAGAGTTGAGTAACAAACTGACAGTATCTGATATCAAATGTGTCGTGGTAGGAAAAGACTGTCCTCACATGAAGGAATTAAAAGGAAGGAAGATTACTCCTCACTTGGCTTTTTCTCTTATATTAAAGTCTTCTGAAGTGACTTCATTAGATTTTGTGGCACCAGATGAGCAGATATTTGATTATTGGACAGATGGTATCAACGCTTTGTTGAAAGAAAAAATGACCAGTAAATCATTTAAAAGTGATTTGGAAACTTTATTGTCTATGGACATAAAAGTGAGACTACTTGATGCAGAAGGCATTGACATACCTCAGGATCCACCTCAAATACCTGAGGAGCCAGATGACTATAATTTTGTATATGAAAACAATTAGAACATTCTGATCTATAATTTTACTCAGATTTCAAATATATATATGCAAATATCAATATGGCGGTGATAAACTGATTGCTTCACTTAGATTTTGATGATAACAGCAGGAGGTTGTATGAATCAGATAGTGTTTCCTTGAATGCTACATCCAGATTCTTTACAAACCTTAAGTTAAAACAGGCTTGTTTACACTGACCATGATTTCTATATAATAATGATTTGTAAACTTTTTCTATATTTATATTATTATATTTAAGCAATATTATAGCACAAAATATTATGAGATGAATGTAGTAAATTATCCCAATTACTAAATTACTATATTCGATAATTTATTTAGTGAAGACATAGTGTAATGAAACAAAATAAGTTGATTGATAAATCAAAGATAAAAAAGTTCTATACCGAAATATTTACTAGGTCTTATTTTAGAATTCATCTGAAGTCACTACAGATATTAGTATAATTAGATCGATAATGAATTTCTATTTGCTATATTTAAAACTATAATTTCAATTACAACAAAATATTTTTCTAAAAATTAATATAATTTTTTAATATACTCAGTTATTTATACAAAATAACTGAGTATATTTTTGCAGAATCGATATAATGATGAAATTAAATTTTAGTGAAGTTGGAAAGATATCTCGGACATTACCAAGCATATTCCATTTTTAAAATAATGATTTTACAGAGAAATTGATAGCAGAACCTGTTATGTGCAATACCACCTAATATTATCCATCGATGACCTATGGATCTTACGACTTACCTTTTTTCAATATCAATTTTATGTAACCAGAAATTTTGCTGGAATTTTAATTGGCGCGATTTCCTTTAAAGCATAAAATGATCTTTAAAATTGTGCAGTTGTGGCATCTATTTGAATGTAGTCTGGGAAGTTAACGGTAATGGATACTATTGGTACTTGCCAACCGACTACGACATACTTCCGTTGTCTACCAAACGATCGTAGCATATTGATTAGATATTCATCTACTTATATTGTATGAATGTATTTTGAGAACTTACAAATCTTTGTAGCTAGATAATAGGTTTATACTTCCATGAAATTGTTAAAAGTATTTTTTAAAAGACTTGTCAGTGACGTGACATTGTATTTAAGTTTTATGACGAACTATTTTAATTACTTGTACTAATACTAAGTACTATTAGACATATAATTAGTATTACTTGAATATTTTATATCCTGAAATTCCATTTGAGTATATCGACTGAATTTATATAGCTTCCATAATTATGTAGTTGCTGTGGCCATATTCCAATGTTATATTTTGTATACCAAAGATCATGTCTAAAGAACAAAATATATTTATGTGTATTCTCAAATAAAGTTTTTATTAGATTATATGGTATTTGGAATTATATTTTTTCGCCGATGTAACCCTGACAGCTTCTTTTTTTTTTATAATAATGGAGTGGTAACCCCGCCTGCGCCAACGGTATACGTTGGCGGAGCATCAGTGAGGAATAATAGGTGAGAATGAAAAGGCATGTCAGTTACCCCATCGTGATGAATACAACTGGAATTCAACACGATAGTTTCCAGGGGGGACCACGTGGAGGTTTACCTGACAAGGCATATTGCTAGCAACGGGACTGGTAGTCCAAATTATAAACAATTCCTTCCCCCAACGCTAACACGATAAGACCGATGAATGAAACCTATAGAACTAATTTCTTCATATTCGCCAATCAAGTTCTACCTGTCCATTAGGTACGAGTCGTGAGATAGCTAAAGGATCCTTACTAATATTATAGATCAGAAAGTTTGCTTGTTTGTCACCTTTATTGCCCCTCTATGCCCCCCCCCCCCCTCTAGCTACGGCCATGCATCTGTGGGTTGGGTATTGAAATAAAAATACAAACTCACATGACATACATACTTTATACACAACAATAATTAAGTAACTACTGCATCTTCGATACTTCGAACTTTGTGTTAATGATTTCCTCGTCTGAATCTAACAACGGTAGAGTGCTGGTGGGTATGTTCTCTTCTACCCAGCGGAGATCAGAATCTAGCGAGTTGCTGTTGTGTTCCGGTTGGGCGGACTCCCTCGCCTCTTGGGGATTGTCAGCGTTGATGCTGGTGCCTCGCATTTTGACGCCGTACGCGTCGTTCACGAATTGCTCTTCCTCTTCTGAAAAAATATATTAATTTTTTTTTTTAAGAAATATGATAGACAACCTGTTTGATTGCTTGTTGACCCATAAAATAATGCATATTTACTTAGACATGACTGCACAATTGAAAGTTTCGCTCGGATCATGAGATGGGCATCAGATAACTCTAGAGTGGGAAGGGGGAAAGGGATTGTTAGTAATGGAGACAAAAAATTCCATTGCTAGCAATATACCTATCCAGGTCGACCTCCACGCGGTTCCCCCTGGAAACTGTCATGATTAATTCTTCATGCTGAATTCATCATGATAGGCTAACTGGCCTGTTTTCATTCTCATCGATCACCCTTCACCGGTGCTCCGCCAGCGTATCCCGTTAGCGCAGGCGCGGTTACCAATCCATTGTCATCCAACATAAAAAAAAAACTCTAGAGTGGGGAGGGCGGGAAAGAATTGTGTCGACCTCAATCAGGTCGACCTCTACGCGGTTCCCCCTGGAAACTATCGTGGTTAATCGTCCCGATGGGCTAACAGACCTGTTTTTATCATCACCTATCATCTGTCACTGATGCCCTGCCAGCGTATACTAACAGCACAGGCAGGGTTACCATTTCTTTATCACCCATTAAAAAAAATCAAGAGTGGGCACGTCCTACGAGGCCTTCCCACAAATATACCTATGGTAATATGGAAAAGATCAATTACCATCTTCGTCATCAGCATTGTCCAGAAGCGGCGTGAAGGCATACCGCTGGTTGTTATTTGTGGGCCTCCACAGGATCATGATGACGATGAGTACGCTCGCGAACAAGATGTGCCAGTATGCTTCATCCATCCATACCTCCTTCCATTCCTATAATTAAAAAAAAAATTAACATTATACTATGACTAGTGACTAGGGGGAACGAAGCACTATATACAAAATAAATGCAAGAAATAAAAAATAATAGGATTTAACATTTAATTGCATCTTAGATATAAAAATATAGGTGTAATGACAATAAGAAAGCAAACAGCAGGATAGAATACAGATAAATTTACAGACATAAAAAAATTAAGTTTTTTATGCAACTTAGAATGGCAAACAAGCTAACAGCCTACCTGATGGAAAGTGGTAACCGTCGCCTATAGACATGAGCAGTACCATGGACATAACAGAGTATACTGTTTCGCCCATGATACGCCCCATGCGTTACCATTCCTGAGGACTCAGATGTTATTCCTCTGTACCCTGTAAATTCACGCCATATCCCACCCTTCAAATCGAAACACAGCCATGCAAACACAACTGTTTCACGGTAGAAACACGAATGGGACAGAGGTACTCAATTATTCGACTTTTGCATTAAAAAATATTATATATTCCATGTACGTACAGACGTCTAGATACAATTTTATTACATTAGCAAGATATATTGAAACTCACTGTGATACAAGGCAGGACTCTGTAGGATTTTATGGAGTACAACATGAACACGACAGATGATATCACGGCGAATATCAGCGTGTTCGTAAAGTGTCTGTACAACGAGAGCTTGATTGTATTTCTGAAACAATATACAAGTATCAATAATATTATGAAGTCATCACAATATATGGATATAACCTGCTAACACTCAGGAGGTTGGGGGGAAAGGGATTGTTAGTAATGGGATCTAACCGACTCACTGCTAGTGTTGCAAATTTTGTACCTTTCCATTAGGAGGTGTTGGCGGTTAAACATCGATTTATTTAATAAAGATGAATTTTATTCCATCGTATTGTTTTTATTTTCTTGTTTTCGAATTTTTTTTAAAGATAGCAAGAAATATTTGTTTAGTGCTTAATTTTACATTAAAAAACACATAATAATAATAATAAAAATTTAACAATAAACAAAAATATAATGAAAACGAACTAAAATTGTGTCACTCAGCTGTATGCCACGTTGTTTTGAATTCATTGGCACCAATTTATCAGAAAGTGAGCACCACTTAAAATTTTGAATCTTATAATTTTTTGTTAATATGTACACTGTACAGCTTGTATTGTATAATTATTTATTTGTAAAAAGATTAAATATTTTTGTATGTTTGTTTGTAATGAATAAATTTAAAAAAAATATTTAACTGTTTTTAAAAATTATTTTAGTTATGTGAAACTACATTATTAGTGGGTTATGTAGGCTGCACATAAACACTCAATGTTTTTTATTTACTCGTCCGAAACTGGGCGGGGTCGCTATTTTCTGATAATTTTGAAGATATTATTATTAGTATATATATATATATATATATATATATATATATATATATATATATATATATATATATATATATATATATATATATATGATATCCCCCATGCGTTGCCATTCCTGAGGACTCAGATGTTATTCCTCTAAACCCTGTAAACTCACTGCCATATATATCACACCCGATCATCATGGGCGAAACAGTATACTCTGTTATGTCCATGGTACTGCTCATGTCTATAGGCGACGGTTATCACTTTCCATCAAGTGGACCGTCAGCTTGTTTGCCATTCCAAGTTGTATATAAAAAAAAAACATTCTTTATACCATTTTTCAAACAAAATAAAACTATTTGCATTAGTATTTGTATTATGTGTGTGTGTGCGCGTGTGTGCGCGCGTGTGTGTAGGTGTGCGCGACGCACCTGCGCAGCTGCAGCGTGCGCATGGTGTGCGCGAGCGCGACGAACACCCACCAGCAGAGCGCGCTGTCGAGCAGCGAGAGCGGCGCCTCGGCGAGCAGCAGCGCGCGCGCGGCGGCGCGGCGCCGCAGCCGCAGCCACGCCAGCAGCGCCGCCAGCGCGCCCCACGCCAGCCCCGCGCCCGCCACGCGCTGCAGCGCCGGGCCCAGCCGCGGCCTGCCCACCCACTTTACATTACCGACTCCACCTCGCACGCTCTTTTGTTTTTAATATTACTTTAAGGTCTTTTACCTTCCTCAGGTATATCAGTCATATCGTACCCTGAACAGATTTCTCAAACAAAACTTTATCTACTTTCCCTGGACGCGGAGAGAGAAGAATTAATGGGCATCAATAATTTATAGAAGTATCCAAAAAACTTCTGGCTCAAGCTCAGCTAACATAGATTGAATAAGACCAACATTCAATTTATTTAAGTTAAAGTGGCGCATGAGTTCTTCTCTTTCGTTCGTGTCAATACGACACTCTAATAGAATATGATGCACATCATCGATGGTATTACAAGTTTGACAATGGGGTGACGAGGACTTTCCCATAATATGTGGCCTGCTCTTTCATTTTCACTTATCAGCCCTCACTGATGCCTCGCGTTAGCGCAGGCGGGATTACCATTCCATTATCATCCAGTAAAAAAAAAACTAGCTCACCAGTTTGGGAAGGAAGAGATTGTTCATAATGTTAATGATCTTGTAGTTGTTTGGAGGAAATAAGTATTACAACTAACTTTTTTAAACTATTGCTAGAGAAGAGCGATTGAGATGGAGAGAATGACGGCAAAAATTAATGTAGGAAGTAAACGTCGCTGTCATGTCTGTACGATCAGTCCAAAAGAAAGAGGTGAAATATCTATGTACAATTTAATTAACTTACTTGATGGAAAAAAAAGTAATGATGTTAACAAATGGCTATGAATTCAATATGTACAATATTTATTTACAGACGCCACAGTCACATTGCTAAAAATATACCCTATCAGGACGACCTCCCCATACCTCCATATCCTAGAAAACATGCCAAATTCCAGGTGTATTCATCACGATGGGCTAACTAGCCTGCCTTTTTCATTCTCTCCTATCACTTCACTGATGTCCCGCCAACGTATATCGTTAGAAAAAAAAACTAGCTCACCATACAATGCCGAATTTAAGGTCAGATTTTAAAAATTGTCAATTTTCAAGAAAAAAAATTCCAAAAACCTAAACAAGGAGATATTGGAAGTGAAATAGAACACATCCAGATTATTTCAATTTTTTTGTTTCTCTGTCTGTTTGTAAGGGCTAATCTCCGAAACGGTTGGACCAATTTAAATGAAATTTTGCATGGTGGTACCTTACATCCCCGGTCAACATTTTAGACACTTTTAATCACGGAAAATTAAAAAGTTCCCGTGGGATAGTTAAAAAACTATAGTAACTTACTTAACGTACAGCCTAGTACACGACCTACTTAAGTAAAGTCATTTTGACCTATTTTGGCAAAGAGTGAGAACGACACGTCATTTATTAATTTTGGTCCAGTATTCCTGGACTTAATAAATAGGTACACAAATCGATACATACTAAACAGGAATAACAAACACCACGCGGACAAAGTCGCGGGCATCAGCTAGTGTAATATAAGAGTTAATATTATTCACGGAAATATCAATTTTACCTCTACCATCTATCTCTGTGGCATCTAGATACAAATAAGTGATAAATATCATACTACATTAAGTACTCACTTTACAATTCCGAATCCGAGCGATACAATAATGACTAGCATTCGAGCGAGTGCCCTCTTAGCAACAGACAACCACTCTGCGAACATATACGCTTCCACGTTGAAGAATCTACGAACAAGAAAACCAAGTATTAAATACCAGTTAAGTGTGGATCAATAGTATAAAACAATCAGTGGGGGGAAAGGGATTATTAATAATGGAGACTAAGAATCCCATTGCTAGCAATATACCCAACCAGGTCGACCTCCTCGCGGTTCCCCCTGGAAACTATCATGGTTAATTCCTGATGAATTCATCATGATGGGCTAACTGGCCTGTTTTCATTCTCACCTATCATCCGTCACTGGTGCCCCGCCTGTGTAAACCGCCAGCGCAGGCGGGGTTACCATTCCATTATCATCCATTAAAAAAAAAAGACCTGACTTCCTTCTCACCTATCATCACCCACTAGTACCTCGCTAAGGTATACCAAAAGCGTAAGCGAGGTGACCATTTTCACCTATTAAAAAAAAAATACAAATACGGCTTCGCTAGGAAGGAAAGGCTTTATACCCGGTGCGGTTGATGGCGGCGTAGACGGCGTAGTAGGTGGCGCTGTCGAGCATGCCGAGCAGCGCGACGCCGCCCACCCAGTACTGGATGCGCAGCAGCTCGCGCCAGCGCAGCGCGCACGCCAGCAGCCAGCCGCCGCACGCCGCGCCGTACACGCCGCACATCACGCCGAAGAACTGCGCGCGCACGCCCCGTTATTACAACTACACCTCTGGTGGGGGGAAGGGATTGTTAGCAATGGATTCTAACAGCTCCATTACTAGCAATATACCCTATCAGGTCGACCTCCACGCGGTTCCCCTTGGAAACCATCTTGTCGAATTCTTCACGATGGGCCAACTGACCTGCTTTCATCCTCACCCAACATCTATCTCAGGTGCTCCGTCAGCGTATACCGATAGCGCAGGCAGGGTTACCATTTCATTTTCACCCATTAAAAAAAAAAACTACACCTCTAGTACAACCGTACAAACACAGTGCCATACAGATGATGTGAGCGTCTACTCATACATTGGGGGCAGTAATCGCTTTTTGGCCTTTTGGCTAAGATCAAAGTGTGGGATAGCAGTCGAGTGACGTCATTGTGCAAACGAACACAAACAGTAGTTGGTGTATCGGCTATTAACTGTCCACTGCTGAACATAGCCTCCCCCATGGGGGTGGAGGGGGGGGGGAGGTGCTAGTACTAGCAAACACACCCCTTATCACTCAGTTAGGCTTTAGTAATGTTTTTAAAGGAACACTGCTGCCCAACCCTCGTCCATTAAGTTCTCTTAATAGCTTCTTACAACAGCCACGGGAAAGGAAGGAGTGGCTTATTCTATACCGGGACCACACGGCGGCTGGCCACATTTATGAATTTAAAAATATATAATTTTAGCTACATTCGTGATAAATATTGTGTGTTATTTAATATTTTGTACTCTCAATACACGACTTTAAAAAATTTTACATTAAATGTGACATAATAAGGAAGTCACATCTATTTATATAGGGTACTCACCGGCAGGAGAGGCCACATAGCGGCTGACAAGTAGCCAGATGGCGCCAGCATCTCAACACTGACTGTCACGTTGTATTTTTTCTCACTACGCACAGTCATCTCAAGTTCATATACACCTTCTTTTTCCACAACCACGAGAGGAGTCACTTTCTGAAACAAAACATAGATGTAAAGTAGTTAATACACCAAAAAATATATAGGACTAGTCTTTACGCGCGACTTAGTCCGTGTGACCGGATTATGTTGATTAATGGGGATAAAAAAATAGCCTATTTTAGGGCGTTTTATGAACGCAATAAAACCCAAAACAATGATTTTTAGAATTTTGTCTATACGTCTATGCACGCTAATCTCAGAAACAGCTTAACCCATTCAATACGGCGGCCATATTGAGATCCCTATGCAGTATAGTTTTTCATCAACGGCCGCCACTACTTTTTCTACGTATATGGCTTAGTTAATTTTGAACTGCCAGTAAATAACAGGCTTCCACAAGTGACTGGAACGGTTCACGTTTGAAACTAAAGGAAACCGAGCGCCTGCTCGCCGTCATTGGGTTGCGCCACTTAGCGCCCTGGCGCGCTCTCCGTATTGAATGGGTTAACCGATTTGAATGCGGTTTTCACTAATGCGTTGCGGTTTGCGCCACTTAACATTTAGTGTTTATTTTCTTTCAATCGGTTCATAAATAAAAAAGTTATATCGATGTAAAGAATGCCCATCCGTGCGAAGCCGGGTTGCTGGTACTATATACATATAAATATACAAATATTCATTAATTGAGCCGTCAAAGAGTTAAGAGGTAACAAACTAACTCACATTCACAATAATACCTAATAATTAGTAAGCGGTTACCAATCGGTCTGCCAAGCGTAGCAACTACGGGCAAAACTTTCCTTGGAATGTTAACATTTTTTTTTATACAACTTACAATTGCAAACAAGCTGACGGCCCACCTGATGGAAAGTGGTAACCGTCGCCTATAGACATGAGCAGTACCATGGACATAACAGAGTATACTGTTTCGCCCATGATACCCCCATGCGTTGCCATTCTTGAGTCCACACTCAGGTGTTATTCCTCTGTACCCTACAGCTAATAAATATCTAAACAGTATAAACAGAAACCGTGAATATAGAAAGCCGAAGCACTTATACAGAGGCAATAGCATTTGACAACATACTTTAAGCGTAGTTGTAATAAAGTCTGTTTTACTCTGTTATTAGTCTATTTGCAGACACGTTTACAAAGGATACCTAATCCTTTTTATTAATATGTACCGATATTTTTTTTTATGCGTGAAAATGGCATAGTTATCGCCTGCGCTATCGGTATACACTAGCGGGGTACCAGTGAGAGGTGATAGGTGAGGATGAAAAGGCAGGTCAGTTAGCCCATTGTGACGAATTCAATGATAAATTGGTCACGATAGTTTCCATTAGGAACCGCGTGGAGATCGACCTGATAGGATATATTGATAGCAATGGGGACTATACTCCCCATTACTAACACAATCCCTTCCGCCCAAGTATGTACCGATTAGATCCGCGGTTATAGAAATCTTTAGTTGCGGCTAAAATATAGGAATTGGGTCGCAATTTTTTAATCCGCGAATTGTGAAAACGCGAATAAAGGAATCGTGAATAAGAAGCTTTTATACTGTATAATAATAATTAGTATAGAATAATGAAATGCAGGTATTTTGTAGGAATCAATGTGATTGGGATTTTTTTTAGATGGAAGAGACGAACACTTTTCTACATACTGGGTCTATGATGGAGTGCAAACATTTGGTCATTTTTAACTGTTTGAAATTAAGTACATACTTGTATATGATAAGATATATGCGTCATGAATATAGGGTGGACATGATAAAGTTTAAAATATAATAAAACCATTGTGTTATCTATATTTTAAAGTACCTACCTAGATACCGATCCTGTACAGTGAATAAAATAGAAAAGAAAAATTTTTTAATCAAATAAAGTTGTTTAACTAATTTGCTAACGAAAAGACGAAACTCTAAATTATAAAAACAAAAGAGTTATTTACAAGCTCATTTAAAACGTAATTTTTTTTATAATTCCACTGTTGGGTTCGGAATCTTGTTAACTGTCTAGAAGGCCCGTAAGAAACTCAACACTTACTTTTTCAATTATTGAAATTAACTGAGTGAAAAAAAAAAATTATCCAAATACGTTGCTAATTCAAATATATAGGAAAATTGCTTCCTTATTTACACACAATATAACTAGCGGAAAAACAGTAAATTCCCTTAAAATATCATGTTATACTGATGGATTGGTATACAGCCATAAATACATAAGGAACGATATTCCTTCCTAATATCTATACTTATAATAAATCTGTAGAGAAGTCAATTTTGTACATGAAATATATTTCCAAAATAACTATCAGGGGGTGATTAGTGATCGATAGTGATGCCAAAAATGCAATCAGTAAAATTTTTGTCTGTCTGTTTGTATTTTCATCATAGAAACAAAAACAAATCGACGAATTTTAACGAAACGATATAATTATTCTTCATACTCCTGGGCAGGACTTATACTTACTTTTCATCACGCTACGATCAATAGGAGCAGAGCAGTAGAGGGAAATGTTGGGAAAACGGGAGAAGTTACTCCATTTTTAAGCTTCCGTCGCGTGTGCAGCCTTAATGGCCACTTTTTAAAATGTAAAAATGTCCACCCGTGCGACGCCTGAACGGACGGGCAGCTATACATTACACATATTACTTATTCATTAGTACACATATTTGTACTAATGAATAAGTAAATAAAAAATCAATAAATAAAAAATGCTCATGATATCCCCCATATGTTGCCATTACTGAGAATTAGTTATGCCTCTGTACGCTGTAATTTTACTGCCAGTGCTTTAAACCGAAACAAAGCCATGCAAGTACAGGTACATTACAGCAGGAACTTCAATGAGACAGAAGTATCTAAGCAGACGACTTTTATACAAAATCTCCCTCTGGTATTATATGTAATTAAATGAACACTCATACGTATGATTGCCTATTAAACTGTAAAAAAATTAAGGTACTAATTTTTTTCTTTATGCAAAGATATAAAAAACTTACCGATTGGGTGACTGCAGGAGTGTTCTTTGAAGGTTCATCGGGCAACTTAATTTTATCGTCCTCTAGTATAAACGACTCCTTCCCGTGGCATGTGAACACCCGTTTTCCAGTTAATACTTGATGTGCCATTGTCGCATTGTTGTTGTTATTTTCGTTTGGTGCCGACCGTTGAGTTCTATGTGAGCAATCGATTACTTGCTGAAAAATTACATCTGTATTTATTAAAGATTGTAATTTACACATACATAGATGAAGTTTTTTTTTTTTTTTAGAAAAGCTTTATACAGCACCATGGATTCAGTGATATCCATGCTACGCCTTATAATAATATTATTAATAACTTTATTGCATAACCATGATTGTAACAAACTCAACACTGGAAATTACTATAAAAGTAGGTACAAATTCATTTGTACATTTGGAACAGCTTAAACCTCTGTGTCTGAACTAGGTTATAAAACCTGTATCTCAGACAACAGCGTTCAACCCTCACTAAATACTATAAAAATTTTGCTGAGCTAATATTATAGTATTTAATGAGGGTTGAGCATTTTTCTTAAACATCTCCTTTGTACAGATATTATCTAGTTATAATTTTATTATATTGATAACATTAATTAAAAAAATTAAAAATACCTGTTCGAAATAATGGAAATAGTCCGGAGAGCATGGTGTCGGTGACCACACATACTCTACAGTGACATTTGTTGGTTCTACTACATCACAGTGTACTGAAAAACAAATAGTTGTCATTATTATTTGTGATCCTTTAGTCTATTATTATTGTGAAATCTTCATCAAGTATTCTTTTTTTTTTTTTTTTTACAACACAGGGGGCAAACGAGCATGCGGCTCACCTGATGGTAAGTGACTACCGCCGCCCATGGTCACCCACAACACCTACGGCATTGCAGGTGTGCTGCCGGCCTTTTAAAAAGGAATATGCTCTTTTCTTGAAAGCTATGTTGTCGTATCGGTTCGGAAATACTGCTGCTGGAAGTTGATTCCAAAGAGTGGTTGTGCGTGGAAGAAAGTGCCTTGAAAAACGTACGGTGGAGGACCGCCACTCGTCCAGATGGTTGGGATGAAATTTTAGTTTATGGCGGTGAAAATCTGCAGCAGGTATCAATCCGAACAATTCTTCAGAGCACTCCCCATGATAAATTCGGTAGAAGATGCACAGAGATGCAACATCTCTACGCAGTTTCAGTGGGTCGAGCCGGACAGTAAGACGCCGATCGTCAACAATTCGAGCTGCCCGACTTTGAATGCGGTCTAACGGAAGGAGTTGGTACTGTGGCGCTCCTGCCCACAGGTGAGAACAGTATTCCATGTGTGGCCTCACTTGAGCTTTATACAGTTTCAGGCGGTTTTCTGGCGTGAAATACCGTCTCACCCTATTGAGCACCCCCAACTTTTTGGAAGCTATCTTAGCTTTTTCCTCCAGATGACCGCAAAACTGGACGTCGCTAGATATATCGACGCCAAGAATCCCCAGACTCGACTTATTATCAAGGGAAGTGCCCTGAAAGTGAGGTGATACGACAAACGGTGTCTTTTTTGCGGTGAACGCGCAGACTTGTGTCTTCTGTTCTGTTAAAGTGAACAAGATTGCGTTCACCCCAGATCGAAACTTTATCGAGTGAAGTTTCGATTTCAGACACAAGTCTGTTCCGGAGCTCATCGGTATGTGCCCGCGAGATCTTTGCATGACCGGTGTATAATGCATCTCCTGTACTGTCGTCCGCATAACAATGAATATCACTGATCTGTAACATATCATTGATATGCAGAAGAAACAGTGTCGGAGATAGTACACAGCCTTGCGGGACACCAGCATTCACAGGTTTTAAGTCAGAGCATGCTCCGTCGACCACGACCTTAATGCTACGTTCCTTAAGAAAGCTGGCGACCCAACTGCACAATCTCGCAGGCAACCCAAACGAAGGTAGTTTTGAGATTAGTGCCCTCATCAAGTATTCCGCTTTACTGAGCAACAATGCGTGTTTTAGACCAAATTGTAATTCTTTACACAACATAGAAAAATGAATAAAAGATATCTTAATTCTAAATATGATTATAAAATCTTTAAAATACATACTGCATACAATCTGTAGAAGTACACAGTTAAAAAAAATTTTAGCTTATTTACGCAATTTACAATGACAAACAAGCTGATTGTTTACCTGATGAGAGAGGTAACATTAGCCTGCAAACATAATTTCAGATTGTGTTATTTTAATGTGGATATTTTGATTTAAAAACTATACTACAGAACCGTTTTTAATAAAATTTCTCTGGAACCAATCTGTAAGTATATCCTTACAGATAAAAAATAATTTTCTAAATTGGTTTGTAATTGATGCACTTATGAGGTAACAAACATAAAAAAATAACTGAATTTATAACCTCTTTCTTTTTGAAGCTGGTTGAAAATTGTTTGATATAGTAATATTTTATGTATTTATTTATGTATATATGTGTTTGTCTATTTATTTCACAAATTATGTGTATGTTTATATTAGTCTAATTATATGTTTAAAATATATAAATATATCAAATATTGCTTAATTTTTCCTCTGTTCAATAATGCATCGCCTACTTATTTCTCAGTTTGCCCAATGGTTGACTGGTAGAGAGCACTGTGTATTAAAGGTTAAATAAATAAATAAAATGTCCATTGTCTGCGTAAATCACTAGAGTGGAGTAGTATATAGATTGCTCCTTAGTAGACTATCTAATAAGTACTTGTGAGGATTAGTCTCTTGGGCAGTTATAAAATTCTAGACTTTTTAGTCATACCCCATTTCAAACTTGCTCAACTTTCGATGATTTCTACTTTTACGTCTTCGATTTTTAATGCAATATAAATGGAATGACAACCCTATTTGCACTGTCAGATGTGAGAATGATGTCATCAGTTGGAATATTTTTGGATTAATTGCACCCTAGTGAATACGATTTTGCCCAGTGCATGTACATTATTTATTTTTACACCACTAATTCTATTAGCATTGTAAAATGAAGGAACATGCATACACATATTAATCAGTATGAAGAAATTTGATCGTGTCCTCCATCAAACTATTTATAACTACTCTTCTCCATCCAAAGGCTGCCTAAAAGAGATCATTTTTAGTGGTGACCGCCCAATGTTTACTCCCTACAATCATTTCTTGTATTTGTTTCTGTCTATAATAAGTTTACTATTGTAATTTTAGAGAAAACAATAAAGAGTGTTATCTATGTTTGAATAATTCATGCATATTCCTATCAAACCTGTTTTATTTTAGGCAACATTTAAAGATTAAGTAAAAATTATGGTATCATACTAATATTAAGCACATGAAGGTGGCAAAGATATTTGTCATGCTTAAATAGTTAGATGGATTTGTATGAAACTTGATTACATGTAATGGAGATGATTCTAAAACATCATTTTTTAAATATTCAATTAAAAATGTAAGAATAATACCACAAAATCCACTCCATTGACTACATCCTAAATCATAGTTTCTCAACCTTATTTTGTCTATTACACACTTTGCTAGATGTTTTTATTAAGTCTCCATTATAATTTTATTTACCATTTGTCATGAATTTAAAACAGCCATGGCCATAATTATATTTAAATAATAAATAATAATCTATGAGACTTATACTGTCCCCTGAAATGCCCACAAGGGTGCATTATCAGCCACATTGAAACCTGTTCTACATCAAGACATAGGATATATTTTTTAAATTTATTATGCATACAAAACTATGAGAAATAGCTAGTTTTGTTATAAATGTTTACTTACACATTATAATAAGTTTAGAATCCTTAAAAAGAGACTTAGCTAGCTGAAATCTGCAGTTGTCCTGTAAATAAATATGACATAATTATAATAATAATTAAAGTTCAATCTTTACATATTTCAGATAGCAAAAAGGGGATATCTATTGACATCAGTGTCTCAATTCCATAAAACTCTCACCTAATTATATATATACCTACTGTGATATCAACTGCAAGTTCATATTTGTGGATTTCAAAAGTAGAAAAATTAATGAAATAGACTACTTCTAGATGGCGACAGAGGGGCAGTCAGTTGTGGAAAGGGAACTTGTTAGAAACTGCTGTGGCTCAAGAGACAAGGTTTACATAAATATGTACCATTGTTCTAGAACCTGATAAATTATTAGATTTTAATTGTTCCATATTAAATATCCAATAGCGAATTACAGTATTACTAGATGCATTGAAATGGAAGTCAAAGAATTGATATGCAATATGTCATATATTATACCATTTATTCCATTATATACCACATAATATTAGCGCTGTAGCAATTAAATTGCTGCAGCACATGCTGTGTGGCGGCCACATTGGCAATAACAAATGTAAAGTTTGTTTTTCTATTGATATTTAATGTAACTCTTTTTGTTGTTAGCAATAAATGTTTTCTTTCTTTCTTTCTTCTTTCAATGATATTTATCAGAGGCAAAACCTGTCAGTGATGAAATAAGCTAAATAAATGTTAAATAAACCAATTTATTAAAAAAATACCACAGAAAATTTGTCAGAAGAATATAAAATATTCAACTAGTCATTAAATAATTATGAGCATTTTTAAGTACAATAAATGTAGTCACTGGCACAGATAGTGTTTCATACATTTTGAAATATAATTAAAAAAGTAAAAGTTTAAAAACTTTTCCTTATTCCTTTAACATGTTCTTGAATATTTTTTGATGACTAATACTAGTGCTTCAAAAATATTTTTTAAACATAAAATATATTTAACTTACTGTAAATCTATTCTATTCTGTTGTATGACCAATCTTATAAACCAAGTCTCACAGGGCAGATATGTTTATTTCAAAACTTTATTTATAATAAAAATTCAAATTGTTCTAGAATTTGAATTTACAAAGGACCTTCGTATTGATTATACAATTTACAGTATAACAATTGCAAGGTAGTACTAAAGCCTTGTTTATAGCGTGACTAATGATAGTATAATATGGTAGCTATGTTTATAAGTATATACCTACTAGACAGTACAGTTAGGCGTTATCATTGCTGTCCAGTTTATAGGCTTCGGATGAACGTTGACTAAGTATTATACATTTAAAGTACAGAAAAGAATAAAAATTATAAAAAATCCTCACCCCACTTAGCGGCAAAATCCACTTTCCGATGTCGGAAAAACATAGCGACATTTTGACGCACAAAAATAATACAAATAACGGTCGTAACATTATGGAAATTGAAATTGTAAAGGAATATCTAATACTTATTTCTGGAATTGTGATATATTTTCAAACAACATTATAATTTACGTTTAAAATATAAATATTACAAAAAGAACAGCATTAATCTCTGAAAGATGAGCAGGTTTTTGACATTTTTTCGACAAAGTTAGCCTTTTTGTTGACTTGAACTTGACACTTTCCCGACATTGACATATTTGACAATAAGAACGATCTGAAATCTTTACTTTTACCTAAGAATAAGAATTTGCATAGAAGGAATGATAAAATAAAAACTGTAAACTATATGGTTGCCTCCTTTCTTCTTATACAAATATAATTAGTAAAAAGAGGACGATAGATACACTATCAGTTGCTATTTTTCTCAATTCATATAGGCTAGTGTTTAAAAAATGTATATGTAAAATTTTTGTTCATTTACTTTATTACATTATATATTCTACACAGTTTATGTAGAAAGTATGCAAGCAGTTTGTATTTAAATTTGGTAGGATTATACGGCCCTATAACATTTTTTTACACTAGCCTACTATGAAATGAAAAAAATATTACAAGGATTTAACACATAACACTGAATATTAAAATCAGAAAAATAGAGAGAGATGGATTGTGAGTCATATTGTGAAATAACAACTACATTATTTTCAAATATAATTTTATTATAATTCTATTGAGATAGTGAAAAGTTACCGAAGATTAAAATTATATATACTTTTGGGTAACGTTTACGTATCCTTTATTGACAATAGTTTAATTTAGATAAAGTTAGTTACTTTGACTGACAATCAGATACATCAACATGCCGTGTCAATGTCATCTATATAATTAATCTGTACTGTGATGGCTTGATATGGTTGATTTCGTGTCAAAATATTTTTGTTTTCTTCTTCGTATTTTATAAAAAAAGTCTTAATTAATGTCTTCATTGTAATGTTTTTTATTTATTTTAATGTTCAATCATACGAAACAGCAGGACACTGCAAGAATAATTATGATGTTTTGGTGATACAATACCCATAAAGAGTCACTGCAGTAGTCATGTCAGATTGCGCGTTGGTGGCCAATGTAAACGAGCACGATGCGAGTATGGACGTGGGGAACGATAAGTCTCTCTTCGAGCCTACTGTTGATATGATGGTAAATGACTTTGATGACGAAAGAACATTAGACGAAGAAGAGGCTTTAGCTGCAGGAGAGCAACAGGATCCTAAAGCTGAGCTTAATAGTTTGCAAAGAGAAGGGGATATGCCATTAGAGGAACTTTTAGCGCTATATGGTTACGACAGAAACATGGATAAACCTACACCCGAGCAAATACCAGAAGTAGTGGCCGAGGAAAATGAAAAGAGTGAATCGGCATTACAGCAGTTGTACAATGAAACTACCAGTCCAGAAGCGACACGTTGTCTTAGGTCAGGCTCGAGGCCGCCTTCGGAGGAAGAAGATGATTACGACTACAGTCCAGATGAGGATGACTGGAAGAAAACTATAATGGTGGGTAGTGACTACCAAGCTGTGATACCAGAAGGTTTATGCAGCTATGATGATGCATTACCCTATGAAAATGAGGACAAGTTGCTTTGGAATCCAAGTGTCTTAGAGGAAAAAGTTATTGAAGAGTATATGAAAAAGATTTGTGCAATGAACTCTGGTGCTGGTGTGGAAGCTGTCCCTAGGGGGAAACAGCTACGAGATGATGAAGAAGCCTTATTTTTGCTTCAGCAATGCGGGCACAATGTTGAAGAAGCATTAAGAAGACGGCGTATTTCAGCTCAGACACCAGCCCATGCCAGCTTATGGTCAGAGGAGGAATGCCGTAATTTTGAGAATGGTCTTAAAGCACATGGGAAGGACTTTCATTTAATAAGACAGAATAAAGTTCGAACACGATCAGTTGGAGAACTTGTCCAATTTTATTACATATGGAAAAAGACAGAGAGGCATGATATATTTGCAAACAAAGCTCGTTTAGAGAAAAAGAAATATACATTACACCCAGGTCACACTGATTATATGGATAGGTTTTTAGAAGAGCAGGAAGCAACAGGTGCTGGGGTCGTGCGACCGGCATCACCATCACCAATGATGGTGTATGCACCATCTCCAGCAGCACAACCTGATCCTCTAGCGCTGGGGGAAAAGGAGGTATTCTCCCAATTAAACGCTCACACACCACCTCCCAGAGGTCTATCCACAGAAGACCAGGAACCAGACACAGGCTCCTAATATATGTATTTTGGCAATGCCATTTGTCAAGTAGTATGCACTGTTTCTTGTAATACTTAATTACAAGTTTATAAGGCGAATGGACATTGACATTTAAACATGCAGTTCTCATTAAGTATTTTAAGGGTCAGAGCACCCAATAGAGTGTGGCAAAACTACTAATTTGATGACAATTCATATTTCATTTTATTTGCTTCGGCATATACTAAAATTAATTTCTATCTTTATTAAACTCAGCTTCCCAAAGAAGTAGGTATAAAGAAATGGATGCCAAAAGTTTCTATTTTATTAAAGTTCACATAATTGCATGTGGTCTTACTGAAAGACATCATGAGACAGAGCTCTGGTGGCATCTAGTTCTCTATACTGATTCGCCACACCATATCAAAAGTGTAGCTTGAACTACTCTGGCCTATAGTAAAGAGGCCTGGCATCTGACTACACATATAGATATGTATGTAAAACTTCAGATACTTGAGGTGCAGATGTACATGGTGCTTCATCCACTTCTAATATATACACTATCTACATACACTAATGATACATACACATCTGCCCCTCTACAGGAACAATTCTATTGATAGAATAATTATTTCAAGCAAGTCAATGATATAGAATGAGATTATGATGTGCATTGTCTTGTTCTTTTTCATGTTAACCATGATTAATAATAATAATAATTTTAATTCAAATAATTTTAATAATTGATCCATTGATGCTATTGTATCCATAGATTCATTTATACCTGTTTAGGGGTGGAGGCTTTTCTCTTATTCATTGATACCGTATATGTATGTGTATATATATATATATATATATATATATATATATATACACATACATACATATATATACATATAGCACAGTGTAAGAAATAACAGTGTATTGTTGCACTATAATTACAATATTAAAATTTGAGTCTATGTGCACTGTTTATTACTATTAACCACTCTGTTGGTGTGTGTTGGCCCTATGTTAGCAAAAGTTAAATGAGTAGACTTGCAGAATGCAGAGAAATGCTGTAATTTTATACTAATTGATGCTGAAAAGTAATTGATAATGTTCTGTATAACTGAATTAAATGGAAAGATAAATTATGAGAATAATTAGAATGTTCACATTGAATTATTAAGTATAATAAATACATTTATGTTGATGTATGTTGAACATGTAATGTTCATTTGGTATATTGTGGTGCAGGATTATGTTTATATGTTTTTGAGGCTTATACAGAGGTGCATTGTATCTTAAATTTATACATTCACCATTTATATGGACACATTGGTGTTGATTCTGAGAAGTCATTTCTCTAAACCTGTCTCTAAAATTAAAATTTGATAGAAGAGAACTTTTTATTTTTGATTGATTTTGATGATTGTGTGGTATTTGTTGTTACTGTTTAATATATATCGATGTGTATCCTATTTATTATGTCTGGGAAGACTGGACCAAAATTAATAAATGACGTGTCATGCTCACTCTTTGCCTTAGGTGAAAATGTCTTAATTAGGTTGTATACTAAGCTGTATAAGTTACTATAGTTTTTTGACTATACTGCAGGAACTCTTTAATTTTCCATGATTTAAAGCATCTAAATAGTGGACCGAAGATGTAAGGTATCACCATGCAGAATTTCATTTAAATCGGTCTAACAGTTTCCGATATTAGCCTGTACAAACAGAGAACCGACCATTTCATTTTTAACATCCCACTGTCTAGGTTTTTTGTGTTTTTTTTCTATGTACAGACATTTAACCTCTACAGTTTTATTATATTTCTAGATATTCAATAATTTTCTAATAGATTTAAGTACAAAATGTTATTAGTATATAATCCATAAAACAGTCATCATCATCATCATATCAGCTTTTAACTATCCACAGCTCAACATAAGCCTTTAAGATTATATAAGATTGGTAACTGCAGTTAGGCTATGTAGATGTTTTATGAATTGTGATTATTTCTAGTAAGTTTATTATATTTTTAATAAGTTTACTATTGTAATCTTTTGGAGGAAACAAAGAGTATTTATCTGTCGATCTATCTATCTATGAGGAAATCTGCTGCCCATTCCTCAGTCAATACAGTACACAAAATTATCTAATTAAAATATTAGGTTAAAAATAATTTTAGTCAAATGACACCATAGAATCAACTCTGTTGTTATTTATAGATTCATAGACTGAAGTTGAGTCATTTTGAATGGTTTCATTATTTATCAAACTTGTTTTCCTTATGTTGACTGTCTGAATAAAGGTGTAATAATTTATTAGTTTTCAATCCAGTAGAAGCAACGAGATAATCCTGCACCACTTGTATATTTCCCTTATTCATGAAATATACTATAAGTTTCACTCTTCTAATAATTAATATTTTTAGTAAATTTTATATTAAGGTTTATTTCGAAGTACATTCTATAAACCTATAATATCATATTGCTCCAAGAACTATTGAGCAAAATTTATAATACTATATATAAATTGATAATTGTGATTTCCAATTGCGATATTCATAATGACTGTAATCTCTAATAAACATCTTTGTGTTACAATTATATTTTTGCTAAAGTATTATATAAATAAAATGACCATGATCATGTTTGAAATACTTAGATCCATTATTAATTGTTTGTTAATGGCAACTAAAATATGTTCAAGTATTTTATTTCAGTTTAAAGTCATTATAAAATCGGAACTTTATAAATACTTAGGTTTATGGAATGGCTATTCACAATAAAACTCTATGCCTAGATTTTATGAATGGATGTGTGACTGAACCCTAAGGGGCCTTTTTATATAATTCAATAGTTATTATTGTGAATTGTTTTATTATGATAAGATTTTTAACAGTACAATGTAAATAATTGTCTTATAATAATTATTATATTTATTTTTTTATGTATAAGGGAATTATACCATGACTTGTATTACGTACCCATTGAATTTATGGGCTGTATAAATAATGTGGACTTTGATTTAATAAAACAGTGCAAACTTTACTGGTTTATTTTATTTACAATAAACTAGCAGTAGCAATTTTCTGTCACTTCTATTACTAAAAAAATTCTAATAGGTATGTTGTTATCTAATAATATTTTCAAATAGTTTTTCTTCCCTGTTATATATACATCCATAAAATTATATTTCGTAATGAATTTAACAGAATTTTATGAATGTAAGTAGTTGGACTCAATAGTGAATGTTATATAAACAATAATGAATGAATTTTTGAACGACGCCTTATAGAGCATACCATCTTGTCATCATAATTTTCAGAATAAATAATAGTTAATTGATTACAGGATAAAAAGAAGTAGGACAGTTAAATTCAAACTATTGTAATGAATATACAAATATGAATAGTGTACCTACTTAAAACTAGATGGAAATTATAAAAAAATATGCCATATAGGTAGATTCTTAAAAGTTATTGGAATTACGAAGTAATAAGTGCGTTTAGTGCAATATTGCAATTGGTACAGTTTATTTTATCGACTCGTACAACTTTTTTTTTTATAAAATAGTACGTATTTCATCGATTTGGATTGGATGAACTTCTTATTTCGTACTATTTTTATTTTAAGCTGTGTGTCAGTTAGCCCATCGTAACGAATTCTATTGGAAGTAACTACGATGATTTTCAGGGGGAACCATGTGGAAGTCGACCTGATTGTGGACAATGAGTTAAGTAGACCCCAATACTAACAATCCCTTTCCCCTCACCTAATACTACTTAGATAAGTAATGGTAGACATTCTTTTAGGTACAATACAATAGGCATAGTATTATATTATCTGCTAAGTAATTATAGTTATTCTTTTGGGTAGAAAAGATTTACGATATTAATTTTGTATCTTAAGTAGAAATGATTGCAAAAATAATTCTGTAAATTTGTTTAAAATTGATAATGAAATAGCGTTACATTTTCACAAAAAAATGAGGAAAATTGTGAGCTGTCGGATTTTTAAGAATTGTAATTTTGCTGGATAATTTTCTTGGAAAAATGATTTCAATTCTCAACATGGATAATAATGAAAAAGTTATATTTTAATTGCTTTGGTTTTGATGTTGGTAATACTATTGAGAAAAGTACGTCAAATAACTGTCAATGTCTATCTATATAAATAACTAAACTATGTAATAACAATTCTAAATAAACACTAAACCTGCAATTAAAAGTTAGAAAAAAATATATTTATTTGATTTTCAAGTATATCTATTGCAAGTATACATTGTCTATAATACGTATAATGTAAATATATAAATTTGCTAATAAATTATTAATTATTCTAGGTTACCCAATTCTCTCCGATACTAAATAAAAAGTACTTAAAAGATGATTGTTACAGCAGAAATGACAGAAAAGGAAATTATAAATGATTTTAAAGAGAATTACGGTAAAGTACGTAAACTACTAGACGAAGACAGCAAAAATGATCCGGAAAACGAACCTTATTTGTCCAAATACAAAGCGAAAGAAATATTAAATAATATGCGTGAATGTCTTGGTAATGTGGCAGATAGGGATAATTTGGACAAAATTAAGCTCGAGGCCATGTTAGGAGCTGTCTTATTGAATATTGGGATTATTGATATGGAGACAGAGGACTTTCCGTCCAGTGAGAAAGTGTTAATGGAGGCAGTGGATCTATTGACACAGAATTGTGGAAAGCCGGAGATTGTAACGACTTTAATAAATGTCTATAATAATTTAGGTATTCTGTGGTCTAGTAGAGATGAACCAGAGAAAGCAAAAAGCTTTTTAATTATGGCTAAAGAGTTGTATGAGACATTTAAATGTACTTTAGAGATGCCCCTACCTATAGAGCATATAATCACTAATTCTGGTGAAGCATATGTTGGTGATTTTATGTTGCTGGAGAAAGCGCATACATTGACACTGTATTACTTGGCTCAGGTATTTGGATCTTTGAAAGAGAATCTCAAGTCTGCTGTTTATTGCCATGTCACATTGAGAAGGCAACTTCAGTACTCTGATTATGAACCAATTGACTGGTCTTTGAATTCTGCAACATTATCTCAGTTTTTTGCAGAGCAAAATGGTTTTTTCAGTCTAGACACCATTTGGCTGCAGCATCAACAGTTTTAGAAAAATATGAAGAAAAACTGAGGGAGGATGACAGTAATGATGAAGTGTCTCTGGCTAAATTAGAAACTTTTAAGCACAGGTCTGCTGATGTTGCACGCTGTTGGGCTAAATATTGCTTGTTACTCATGACTGCTTCAAAGGCAAGACTCATGAATGATGCAGAAAGAATGACTGAAGCTATCACAGGTAGTGATAGATAGTATTGATGACTGTTATTTCTTTTATATAAAAAGATCCTTACATTTTTATGCCTGTAATTTTATGTTTTTATATAAAACTACAACCTTATAATGGATATTATTCCTTTTGCATTTTATTGATAATTATTAATAATGCCCAATAGAAATATTTCTTATTCAATAGAAATTTAATAATTTTTTGTTACAGTTACTTTTTATAGCATAATATTAATTAAATATTGTACCTTTATTTTACAGATATGTCTAACTTGACGTTAGAAGACACTGAAAATATTTGTGGGGGTGATATGAAGACTTTAATCTTTCCAGACATTGATGTATCAAAATATGAAAGCAAAATAGGAGACAAATATTTATTGACATACCAAGATGCACGCGAAGTATTCTTAAGTTGTCAAACGTGGTTAAACAAAGCAAAAGAGTATTATAAACTTGATAGTCTGGCTTCTGATTATATTGAACTTGTACAAGATAGTTCACAATCCTATAGCTATTTAGCATTCTTTGAAGAAGACGATGAAAGAAGAGCTAAAATGCATAAACGCCGCATTGATATGCTCAAAGATTTGATAAAGGAAATTAATCCGACATACTACTTACAGTACTGCAGGCAGCTATGGTTTGAACTTGGCGAAGTATATTCTGATATTTTAAATATAAAATTGGACAAAGTAAATAAAAATAAAGAGAAGCCAACACCACATGCTCTGAAGAAAGTGAACATGCTATGTGAGAAAAGCATAGAGAACTATGATAAATTTTTAAATTCTGTCAAAGACAAAAATGGTCAGATGCCGAGGAAACTTGAATTTGAGCTTATACGGCCTGTTATAAGTGCTTACGCGTTTATTGGTAGGAATAGTATGAAAAGGATAGCTGTAGACAAAAATATTCAATTATGTCATGTTCAAAAAAGTTATGATTCATACAATGCAGTGGTTGAGATATGTAGCAATGATAGGGATGCTGCTGCTATGATGCATGAAGAGTACAGTTTATGCCAGGAGATGGTCAACATACTACCAATTAAAATAAAAAAACTTCAAACTGAATTGGTCGCTACATAAATAAAATATTCAAACATTTACTGTTGAATTGTAAAGATCTCATATTTGTTACGAAGTCCATCAGGTTTTGAGGCTTAAGCTGTTTAACATTTTTCATGTTATGCTTTTTTTAATTTGATGCAATATTTATACAGATATTTTTTTGTATTGTATGTAGGCCTCTTAAGCAAATTATATTGTGTGAAATATGAATAGTTTGTTTTTGCTAATATAAGAGTTGTAATATTTAATATAAACTCCACCTATTGTCCATGTAAAGTATCGGGCAAGATTATGTTATTATTGGTTTACGATTTCCTTTATTACATTAATGTCTAACTCTTAACTTCGTATATTGTTGTTATATTTATTATAGTTGTATTTGCATGGCTGTGTTGTAAGTTTCAAGGATGGGATATGGCAGTGAATTTACAGGGTACAGAGGAATAACACCCGAGTCCTCAAGAATGGCAATGCATGGGGGGTATCATGGGCGTAACAGTATACTCTGTAATGTCTGTGTGTTTATAGGTGATGGTTACCACTTTCCATCAGGTAGGCCGTCAGCTTGTTCGCCATTCAAAGTTGTATAAAAAAATATGAATTATTAACTATGAAATAGATCAATTTTAAATGATGTATCATGACAAAATGTTTTATATATATTTGGAACCAGATTTTAAATTTGACCTTTAAGAATAAAACTATAAACCGCATCCAATTTGGTATAGTAATTTTTGTGTGATACCGAAATAAACATTCGTATAGACAGGTTAAGATCTTATCGATTTTTCATAAGCATGTCTTATGTACAGACATCTTGTTTAATTTTATGCATGCATTGACATGCTTTCAATATATATTTATACCTACTAGCGACTTACTTCAGCTTCCCACGGTGTTTTTAAAGTACAGCCCATGTTAATATTGCAGGTTTATATAAATGAAAGAATATTTCAATTTTGTTGGGAATTTTTTGAGTTACAAATAATTAAATCTTTTATTTTTATATTTTTAGTTTAGATTGCAGGATTTGAAATATTCTCTAAATAAAAATCTAAAGAAACTATTTTTTTATAGACGCAGTTTCTTTTAAAATAAATAAGAACGCCAAACAAGCTGATACAGCAACATGAATAATGGATGTTACAGAATACACCATGACCCTCTTCGTACCTCATACGTTGCACTTTTGACGAGTTAAGGTTTTATGCTTTGTTAATTACTTTAAATTATAGGTAAATAATTTTTTTCAATGTTAAAATCAATATTATTTTTTTAATAATATACCTAGCTGGTGTAGCGGCTAACATGGTTTTTTTTAATGGGTGATAATGGAATGGCAGCCCCACCCGCGCCATCGGCATACGCCGGCGGGGCACCAGTGAGAGATGATAGGTGAGGATGAAGCAGGTCAGTTAGCCCATCTTGACGAATTCAACAAGAATTGTTCACGATGGTTTCTAGAGGAAACCACGTGGAGGTCGACCTAATAGGCTATGTCTAGCAATGAAGCTGTCAAACTCCATTGCTAACAATCCCTTTCCCAGCAGTTAACATGGTTACCACAGTGCTTTAATTTTAACACTAATCATACTATAACAGGTCAAATGACCCATTTTAAACTTTTGCATTGATAATGCACGTATTATTTTTTACTTCTCAACATTAAACTTCATGACTTTTATTAACTTATTAAATCTACTGTTCTTATACTATTTTTGTATTTTTTTGTTTTGTTTATGTTAAGTAATACCGTAGTTTACCTTTGTCTACCACATGGGGTCATTTGACCCTCTAAGACATTTTTTTGTTTTATAAGCTTATCAATACATATTACTTATCTCTTATTGCAGTCGTAAACTGCACATTTCTGCAGCGACTAGTGAGAAAAAATTCAAGAAAATATTAAAATTTTAGATTGAAAATAAATTTTTGTGTAAAAAAAGTTAGCAAAAAAGAAAAGTTTGGTAAATAGTTTATATTTTATTTTTATAGCTTTATAAGTGATACAGGTTTTTTTTTACCCATAAAATGTCGAAACGCGCGAGACATTACAAGTTCTTAGAAGATATAAATGATATTGGAGAAGAGTTTTCGGAAATCGGTGAAGGTGAATTTTCTGAAAACGAAGATATATTGGTTACAAATAAAAATGAGGTTGAATCATCAGATACTGACGATGAAGAGGAAAATATTGTAAATATTGGTCGTGGACAAAAAAGAACAAGATTACTTTCAAGTTCTGAAAAAAGTGAAGTCGAAATGAATGAACAACATGTTGCGAATAATGGATCTGTTTGGAAAGAAATACAAGTAGGTGGCATACCTAGAAAGACCACCACTTTATAACATTTTCAGGCAATAAGTTGGCCCAACAGGATATGCAAAACGCCGTATAATGAAAGGTAAAGTTAGTACTGGATTTTCATTGATAATTGACCACCGTATTATGAATCATATAAGAACATGCACAATATTGCGGCATTTATTGCAATTTTATACGCACGAGCTGCATATGGAGCAAATAATTTGAAACTTTCTTTTTTGTGGAATAACATATGAGGGCAATAACATAGGAGATAATATCCCGAGACAGGACTTTTTACTAAAGCTAGCAGTAGAACTTGCCGATGATTATCGAGAAGCCCGTGAACAACCAAAAGATAAAAGAAATAAGAAACAACCGTTTCCTAAGTCTGCTACAGATGCTAATAAAAGTAAAAGGTGTCAAATAGGATACTGTAAAGAAAATAAGACTAGCAAAATTTCCACTAAATGTAAAAAAATTGTTTGCAGAAAGTGTACGATGGACACTCTTATATGTAAAAAATGCGATGAATAAAAACAATTCCGATTTTTTTGTTTACATTAAAAATTGTCAATATATTATTTTGTAACATTATAATACATTTATATTTTTATTTTCTTTCTAAGATCCATAATTTTTACATAAGGTATAAAATATTAACTTCGGGTCATTTGAGCCGCTATGGTAGACTAAGTACCTAATAATTGTTGGTATGATTAGTGTTAAATGATTGCAAATTCGATGCTTGTGCAATACAGATGTTTGTTCAGCTCTTTCTGCACACGGCCTTTTATTTTGGATATAAGTTGTGTTGTAATAATAATAAATTTATCGTTACTGGTTCTCTACCAGCATTTATCGATAGTCCAGCCGAGGTTAGCATTCCATTCTCACTCATTAGAAGAAAAAACAATGTTTTTTTGGAAACCATCATGATTATTGGGAGGAATTTTCACGATGGGCCAATGACTTTATTTTCACCTATTATCCCTCATTAGTACCTTTTCAGTGTACACCGACAACGTAGACAGGGTTACCATTTTAAATTAGTATATATGTAGTCAAAGACTCTATTTGTGATTTTGTACCGTAAATCTTTGTCTTTATTTGTTTGTTTGTCTTTATCAAGTTATACTTACACCAAACTTGCTCTCTCGTTTGTCAATGATATATTTTAATTATAAAGCACTATTATACCTACTTGTACAACAATTAGTCCATTACCTTAAGGTTGTCTTGAAAAGATTGCTCTCAGCAATAAGACCGCCTTACTGTACTTATACAATTGTATCGTTATGTTTGTAAATTGTCTTGTTTATTTCCTATATTGTATAATGCAAATAAAGTATACTCATTCATTAATTATGGATGATAATGGAAAGGGAACCCTGCCTGCTATATCGATATATGCCAGCGGGGCACCATTGAATGATGGTAGGTGAAAATTAAGACGGATTAATAATTAATTCTATCGTGACGAATGTCTTGCTGACATTGATGCTCTTTTCCACTTTGGGTTTACTGGAAAAGAACTCCTTCAGCTTTGTACATTTAGTTATGTCTGACTTTTTTTTTATGTACTGCCAGTGTGTACATTAAGGTATAAATAATAATAATAATTACGAATTTAATATTTCGACCTGATAGGGTATATTGCTAGCATGCGCTCAGCGGGCCGAGGCACGCAGTCAGGCTCGTGGTCGCGTCACAGTCACTCATGACTAAGGATCACGAATTGATTCCGAAACTAGTCGAAGTTTTTCAATCTAATAACACGTAAGTTATTACATTAAAATATTGCTAGCATGAGGTTGCTAGTCCCCATTACTTAGAATCCTTTCTCCCCCCTGTGAGTGATATCATTTCCATAAACATTATATGTTACTGCCTATTTTGCCTATAGGTTCTATTATTTGTAGGAACACTTACTTACTGAGCGTAAACCAGTCCTTAGATATTTGGAACGTTTGTTATTATAAAAAAAGTCATATATAGTTAATTTTTTTATTTTTATTGTTGTTTTTTTTTTGTTGACTAATTATGAGCAAAGTTATGTTTATATAAAAGTAACAAACGCGCCCTGCGCCTTAGAATCTTTGAGGCCAATTATATATCAATGGTAAATTTAATGTATTTATTACATACATTTAGAGGTTATCTAAAATTGTGTTCGAGGAATATAATATATATTCAATCAAATACTGTACTATTTAAGTAGGCAGTAAAAAACTATTTACCTATTTGTGACACTCAGTTTTCGATTATTATTTTTAAACCGTTAATGGTTTTAATTTTTTTTTAAATTGATAAAAAATCTATAAACGACATGATGAATACCCTAATGTTTCTTTTCCTTTACATTAACATTGAAACTAACTTTTATAACGCGTAATATAAGCAATAGAATTGCTTTTAAAATTAAAACTAATACGATAAGGATCACAGCAAGCGCAGCACCAACATCCAGCAGTGAGAGCTGGATGAAGTTCAGGTCCCTTGCTGGAGAGTGGAGTGGGTCCTTATGTCCCCACCGGATTACACGTTCCACCCAGTACACTGCTGTGTCTAAGGGCTTCGATTGTCTGTCATGCCACATTTTGGACACGAGGCGAGCGCTCAAACGCATTCTGGAACAAAGAGAATAAGATTTTTTTATGCAACTTAGAATAGCAAACAACCAGAGGGACCACTTTTACCAGAGGGAGACTTTGTACAAAAGTCGATTGCTTGGATACCTCTGTCCCATTCGTGTTTCAACCGTGAAGCAGTTGTGTTTGCATAGCTGTGTTTCGGTTTGAAGGGTGGGATATGGCGTGAATTTACAGGGTACAGAGGAATAACACCTGAGTCCTCAGGAATGGCAACGCATGGGGGGTATCATGGGCGAAACAGTATACTCTGTTATATCCATGGTACTGCTCATGTCTATAGACGACGGTTACCACTTTCCATCAGGTGGGCCATTGTATACTAATATCTATATTATTATTAATATGTAATAATATATATATATTTTTACAACACAGGGGGCAAACGAGCATGCGGCTCACCTGATGGTAAGTGACTACCGCCGCCCATGATCACCCACAACACCAGCGGCATTGCAGGTGTGCTGCCGGCCTTTTAAAAATGAATATACTCTTTTCTTGAAGGTTATGTTATCGTATCGGTTCGGAAATACTGCTGCTGGAAGTTGATTCCAAAGAATGGTTGTGCGTGGAAGAAGTGCCTTGAAAAACGCACGGTGGAAGACCGCTACTCGTCCAGATGATTGGGATGAAACTTTAGTTTGTGGCGGGTTGTACGGTGGTGAAAATCAGCAGCAGGTATCAATCAGAACAATTCCTCAGAACACTCCCTATGATAAATTCGGTAGAAGATGCACAGAGATGCAACATCTCTGCGCAGTTTCAGTGGGTCAAGTCGGATAGTAAGGCGTTGACTATCGATAATTCGAGCCGCCCGACTTTGAATGCGGTTTAATGGAAGGAGTTGGTACTGTGGCGCTCCTGCCCACAGGTGAGAACAGTATTCTATATGCGGCCTGACTTGGGCTTTATATAATTTCAGGCGGTGTTCTGGCATGAAATATCGTCTCACCCTATTGAGCACTCCTAACTTTTTGGAAGCTATCTTAGCCTTCTCCTCCAGATGACCGCAAAACTGGACGTCGCAAGATATATCAACGCCCAGAATTCCTAGACTCGACTTTTTATCAAGGGAAATGCCCTGAAAGTGAGGAGATACGACAAACGGCGTCTTTTTTGCGGTAAACGCGCAGACTTGTGTCTTTTTGGGGTTAAATTGGACAATATATATATATATATAGAAATTAGTATATAATACGAGTACATATTTGAGTTTTATTTCTCATTTGGCAATTTTATAAATTGCAAATTTTTATAGAAATATAACTAAAATATGAAAGACGTATCGCAATAATGTAATTATTGTGTGATTAGAAAAAAAAAAAAACAAAACTGAATAACTTTCACCAACGAAGTTCTCGCTCTTGAGTAAGATTATTTAGTTTCGGATCGAAATATGAAAATATTTCTTTTAAATTTTGCACTTTCATGTAAGTGTTTAATGACAAACATTGAATATTTTTTAAATCAAATTTCGACCCACTGTTGGATTTTTTAAACTTTATCTCGTCTTGAGATTAAATAAATTAGGTTACTATGCCAATGATTTAAAAATTGTTTGATGTGTACAATAAAATACTTAGGAGAATCATTCAGAATAATTTTTAAGACAAGGTTTAGATAAGTTAGGTCGATATGTACCTATACTTACTTATTGAATTCTCATTAACCTTTGACATGAGTCTTGTTTCATGAATGTCTTGAATTATCATACATAAAAGTTTTAACGTATTCATTGTGATTGTGTATAGGCAGGTAGCATTCCAAATATAGACATCTATTGTTATGAACGAAGCTACCAATGTGGGTAGCATGATAATCATCAAGGAATTATGAAAGGTTGTAATAATAATCAATCTAAGAAGATATTCCTATGCCAGTTTAATTACTAGGTACTGTTTTTTTTATACAACTTAGAATGGCATGCAAGCTGACGACCCACCTGATGGAAAGTGGTAACCGTCGCCTATAGAAATAAAAATTATTATTATTATTATTATAAATCGGAAAGTTTGTGTCAGGTGAAATGTGAGGACATAAGCACCACGGACATAACACTATACTGTTTCGCCCATGATACCCCCCATGCGTTGCTATTATATTATAGGTTCTCAGGGGGAACCACGAGAAGGTCGACCTGGTTGGGTATATTGCTAGCAATGGGATTCTCAGTTTCCATTACTAACAATCCCTTTCCCCCCAATCCTGAGGATTAAGATATTATGTTTCCCTATAAATTCGCTGTTGTATACCCTTAAAACTGAAAGACAGGAGGCACAATGAGATGGGGGTAATTTAAAAATTTTAAGAATTTAGGCAGAGAAGAGTGGGTATTGATACTTAGATCGACCACTATGTGGTTACCATTGGAAAAGATCAATTGACCTAACTTTATTATCACCTATTATCTCATTGCTACCCTACCAGTGACATACCTATGACTACCTTACATATGATCGATAAAAAACCTATTTAGGTAATTATACTATTTGGTAGGCACTTACTCAGCACTCAAAACGCTTTGGACAGCTTCAAAAAGAGTATCATCGTTGATGTCAGCGTACGATATCTTCTTGGCAAAGCCAATAGATGCCGCGGCCGCTGCGTTGGTTGGCTGGTCTCCGTAGAAGGGCACCACCACCATTGGCTTCCCGACGGATACCGCTTCCGTCATTCCGAGGAGACCACCGTGTCCTATGAACGCGAGAACCTTTTTGTGTTCTGAAAAAAATATAATAAATATAAAAATTTAATAGATATAAGTTTAGCACTGTTTTGTTTCAAACAACGCAGAGCTAGTAGTACTACGGGTACTTAACAATAATAGAAAACAACTGATGGGCAAAATTTTTTTTCTCTATACATGTATACACATCCTCAGCCGTTAACTGTACACTGCTGAATTCTGTGTCCCCCCATAAGTGGGGGGAAGAGGGATGCCCATAGTTGTCATGTTTGGCAGGCGGATTGGATTAGTAATGATGTAGTGATGATGATTTGGTAATGTATTAAAAGGGACGCTACCAAGCATCTCTCGACCATTCAGTTCCTTTCGTCGTCTCTTACGACACCCACGGGAAAGGAAGGGGTGGCCCATTCTATGCCGGGATCACACGGCATAAATACATATATGTAATATAGAAATTACCCAGACCAATACAAACATACAATAAAAATATGAATATAAATGTTCGTATTATTACCGAGGCTTAGTGTTGAAAACTGTGATAATTGCGATACAAACGCGGCTAAACTATTATATGTTTATAAGGACGACGAGAACAATAAAATACATATTATGTTTCCAACATCCATTTTTACTAAATTTGAATAGAATCGACTGAATGCATTATATTTTTAATAGTAAAAAAAGTATAAGTGGCCAGTACGTGCAATAATAAAAAGAGTTCATTCTTACATATTAAATTGAATCTGCAACATTTAGGTTTAGGTTTGATTGCGAATAATAGGCAAACTGATGGTATAGTTTAGGACTTATACTATAAGTAAAGGTCATAAATAAATTTTATAGTTAATGCCCTATCTAATAGAATAATTACAAACATATACACATGTGTATATATATATATATATATATATATATATATATATATATATATATATATATATATATATATATATATATATATATATATATATGTATATATATATATATATATATATATATATATATATATACAATTTTTTTACGCAAACAAACATCCTAGATATGAACAGTACCATAGACATATATGTTAAGTTGGGATATTTAATGTATATATACAATGCAATTATTATCAATAATCTATATATTAATCGGTAGTCAAAATGAGGAACAAATATATGTAAATAAAATGCCTTATGTAATGTAAAATAAAATAATAAAAGCATGTAAAAAAAAACACTTATTTTTCAACGAATAATTTGTTAAATAATAATATTATTATGGTATCTTAATGATGTTGAAAATTAAAATTACCATAACGGATTTAAAATAATACCTATGTAGGTACGTAGCATATTATTTCATGATAATTATGGAATACATTACCATAATTATAAAATACGTGATACCACATTTTAATTCCGCGAAATATTTTCCTAGTTGTGACATACAAAATATTCTTATATTAATTTTTATTCGTATATCACAATAAAATCATTATTTTGTTCTAGGAAATAGGTATCCATCTTCGTCTCATACATCTTCGTTTCATTTCGTCACGATTTCAGTTATACACGTAATTCTATTAATTCTTATCTCAGAAGCAAAGAAGTACTTAATTTGTAATTTCAATTACCATACCTAAGGTAATCTTTTTTTATACAACTTAGAATGGCAAATAAGCTGACGGCCCACCTGATGAAAAGCGGTAGCCGTCGCCTATAGACATGAGCAGTACACGGACGTAACAGAGTATACTGTTTCGCCCATGATACTCCCCCTGCGCGAATAATATCGTATTCTCTTATTATCTATGCATACGTATTCTCTATGCATAATCTAATATTTGTTTTGTTATAATTCGGCACGTTTAGTTAGTACGGAAGAAGTCAAATTTCTTCGAGAAAAAGTTTAATACCACTGGTAGGAAAGATACTAAATTCCGTTAGTAATAGTTTTTATGGAATAAAATGTAATGATAACCCTGGTGAGATGCTAGTGGGGTATGATGATAGGTGAGAAAGAAGTTAGATTAGTCCGCCCCTAATGAGATGATTTGAGAAAAAATAAACTCTGAATATGTTTTAATCAAGTAAACTTAATTACTTACAGGTATTTTTGAATAATCACTTCTGAGATAGGTATATATAATTGAAGGGTGGGATATGGCGTGAATTTACTGGGTACAGAGGAATAACACCCGAGTCCTCAGGAATGCATGGGCAACGCATGGGAGGTATCATGGGCGGAAACGGTAAACTCTGTTATGTCCATGGTACTGCTCATGTCTATAGGCGACGGTTACCACTTTCCATCAGGTGGGCCGTCAGCTTGTTTGCCATTCTAAGTTGTATAAAAAAAAATAAAAAAATTCATAATACTATTATTACTCATACACATGAAATAAAATACAAAAATACAAATGAAAAATACTCACTTAACAATTCATACTGCGGTATCCACCTAACTTTTAATATGTTTCCCACAAGAGTGCCTTCCTCGTCGCTGTCCTCATATTTCCATATGACTCTTTGCTTGAACTTAGAGAGGACTCTTATTATAATTTCTTCCTTATATTTTGGTATCGTGGATGTCTTTATGAGGGAACCGAAACTTAACAGAATGACACCATGTTCCGACTCGTTCAGGAATTTTTCAATGTACTGGAAACGAAATAATAAGAATGTTTTAGAAATTAGAATATGCATAGAACAGACACTCAGGTTATGGAACGAGTTCTCTGTTGGTTTTTTCAATAGACTACAGCATGGGGTTCTTCAAAAAAGATAAAGAGGTTTCATGAGCGTCGACAACGCGCGCGTAATGCCCCTGGTATTGCATTCGTTCACAGGCTACAGTATTTTCTTACCATTAATACCTCATCAGGGCTGTATACTCGTTTACCACTTCAGTGGTATAAATCAAAATTGTGACTCACTCTGGTGAGTGTAAATTATTTTGAACCGACTTCAAAAAAGGAGGTTTTCAATTCTTATTTCGAAGCTTCTTTGTACTCGTTGTAAAAATGCAGCGAATGCGAGTATAACTGTGTCGATTGAAAATTTAATCGGTGCAGTATCTGACACCATATGCATAAGGCTGGTCTTATTTGGATCACAGTAAAGTATACACATATGTAGATATTAAATAGAATAATATTTATATTATTATATGTATCACATCTCCCATATTTAGAACTAACAAAATTTTTCATCGTGCCTCCCACCAAATTGTTTATAATTACTCCTCTCCATCCAAAGGTTGCCTGGAAGAGATCGCTCTTAGCGAAAAGGTCGCTCATTGTTTTCTCATTGTGATTATTTCTTGTAATTATTTATATTTATAATAAGTTTACTATTGTAATCTTTTGGAGGAAACAATAAAGAGTATCTATCTATCTATCTATGTAAATTACAGTAAACATTTTTTTATTATGTGGATGCTCAGTTTGACAGGTGCTTACTTAATTTATTATACATTGTATATTGTACTATTGTATTATTTGTGATACATAATAGTCTAAGGCATTACTCATCTATTATATAAGATATGGGGATTTATTATACTCGTAAAGTTCAATATTGTATTCTCAGATGGGATATTCAGTGGTATTTTTCTATTGCAACACAATTGACATACAATTTCTGAGCGTATTTTAATTAGAACATATAGCTTATTCGTTATTGCCATTTTAAAGTTTACTTGTGGATAAAAAGTGTGATTGTAGACGAATTTAGAATACGGAATTGTGAATCCACATTAAAAACATAAAATATAAAAAAACATACCAAGTTTCGCAAAGTAATTCTTTCGCTACAAATAGTTGTGAGATCATAAGTCTATAACGACTTGGCAACATATTTAACTAATTTTAACTTTAAACAATGTTCATCCAATTCGGACACAAGCTTTGTTGAGCATATAATTTTTTTTTGTTAATGGGTTTTGAAAATCTGTAGGTGTTCATAGATTTCTGACACTGTCTGTACAACTGACGACTAAAAATAGAGAATTTCTCATTAAAATATATGAAGATAAATGATAACGTCCAGTGTCTATGTTTCGATTTTAATTGGCACCCACGACGGCTTTGTGCGATTCTAAATTAGTAATAAAGAATCATATGGTGTAACATTTAAAATGCACACAAATATCTCGACTGTCGAAGAAGGTAGATTAATGTTTCTCTGAATGTAATTAAATTTTTGACGCTAACAGTCCACTGTTGAACATAAGTCTTCCCTATAAGGGAAGTATTGCCAGTAGTCGCCATGTTTAGTAGGCGGATTGGCAAACACAGTTAGGCTTTTAGAGATGTTTTTAGACGGACGCTGCTGCTCATCCCTTTATCTTTATACATATCTTTTAAGCTCTTTTAGTTACCTCTTACAACACCCTCAGGAAAGAAAAGGATGGCCTATTCTATTCCGAGACAACGCGGCTAGTATGTAATTGTATATAATAAAATAAACATAGAGAAATTTTTTACCAAAAGCGAGTACTTGGGTGTCCACTTCTACACCAGTATAGTCGGGTTTCTGCTGCCGTTTTGCAGCTATATTTGTATGACTGTGTTCTAGTTTGAAGTGTGGGATATATATGTGAAAATGTAGGATACAGAAAGGATAACACTTCTGGGAAAAAATAATATATGAGTATAGAACGGATATCACGATTCTTTGATATTCGTGGTACTGTTCAAGTCTACAGGCGTCATCATTTTTCTTATAGGTTATATTTAATCAAATAGAAGGCTAGTTCAAAATTGGTTATAGTTATTTATTTATTTCTTACACTTTTTATACAGTGTATTTTATACAGTCTCCCATCCGAAAAATGGATATTGGTAACCCACACGAATGCTAAAGTTAAATGAGTTAAGGGGCCGCCTGAAAATCAGCTCTATAAAGTTACATCTCGCTGGAGGTGAGCATAGGTATATAGCAACAGCTGAGGCGACTCCTATTACTAGCAAATGAATTGTTTTTTTTTTTCTTTTATTGTTCTTTATTTTAACTTGTTATTATTATTGTTTGTAATAAAGACTCTATTTATCTATCTAATTGTTTTAGTAATATATATATGCAAACATAAACACATATAACTAAACTAAACATAAAAATTAGGTACCTATCTTGATGTTTATGGTATTATAAAAGTTTTGAGATAGGATAACAAGATAAAATTTAATAGAACAGTTGAATTAAATACTTTCATCCAGAGTAATCATTGAGTACATATTTATTTAATGATAAGGCGGCTTTAATTAAAAGATTTTATTAAATCACAGATTTTATATCAACGTAGGTAAACAAGAATAGTAATGATAAAAGTAATCATAAGAGACGATGCTTGAAACTGCATTTTAAGCTAATATCAATAAGAGGACGTTCTCAACTAGTCTGCATTTTTTGTATGTATATTATGCGATATCTTGTCACATATGAACTGATTGCGATTATTATTTTATACTCTATAGGGTTTACTCCTCTACTGGTTCTTCATTCGTTGGTTCATTAGTAAATGATTTTGTGACAATTGAAGTTGCTGTTTTTATTTGCGGAGTATCATTCTGTATGTTGCTAATCAGAAACTTGTAGACATACGAGTTCGCGTTTTAAATTCAAATATTTTCAATCTATGCATCGACAAAATAGTCGTCGATAGATTATATAGAGAGAGCAGCGAGTATTAAAAGCGTGACAAAACTAAGTACAGATTTGTACGTGACTATTTTTTTTTTATTAAAATAAAACACGCTTTTTTCAGTGTTGTAAGTTGGTTTAAATATTTCCCAGACCAGGTGGATATTTTATATTTTGAATTTAGAATTTTTTTTTTTATATTATGTACATGTTGCTTATAAATTAATATACATGTATTTATTAAATTTGCGGTTATTTTTATTATTTAAACACGTAGACATACTTTATATCTTTAATTAAATAAATATTTGAAAGAATTTTGTATCGTTTTTATTTTTTAATTTAATATTATAACATAAATTTCTCTTGCATAGATATTAAATGCATCTAATAATGGTAATTTTGATGATTTTGATGGCCGATTTACGTACACATGAATAAAAAAGTTGACCTGTTTTTGGCGAAGCATTCGTATGTACATATATATTGTATGTGATCTCATCGTATATTTGTGTAAATAAAATTTATTTCAAAGTAAGAAATGCATAATTTATATTCATTTTGACACGATTTTTTTTGAGGGCAAAGTCAATTTGTATTTGGAATTTTGAATTTTTTTAATGGATGATAATGGAATGGTTACCCCGTCTGCGCTATTGGTATACACTGGCGGGGCACCAGTGATGGACGATAAATGAAGATGAAGCAAGTGGTGAGCCCATCGTAACAAATTCACTAATGAATCAATCACGATGGTTTCCAGGGGAAACCGCGTGGAGGTCGACCTAATAGGGTATATTGCTATTAATAGGGTTGCTAATCCCCATTATTAACAATCCCTTTTCCCCCTATATGCAATGTATTAAACCTATATAGTGTAAATGGCAGACTTAACACCATATGGCGTTATCTACCAGTCGACTGTAGATAAAAATACTAGAAATTATAATTGATGGTAAAACGTTGAAACGTGTTGAACAATACTAAATTAAAATAGTAATTTAAAAATTATATACATATAATATTCATATTACCTACATTTTATGTACATTTGGCGGACTTAACACCGGATGGTGTTTTCTACCAGTCAACCATTGGGCAAATCTATATTATAATAATAAATAATGTCGAATTGAAAATACCAACATCAGACCAAACAAAAAACAAGCGTCTATAATATATTACGATTCTAGGGATTCTAAATAAAAAGAAGATCTAACCTCAAAGGGTAAATCATTCCAGTGCTTGATAACCTGAATGTCGAAAAAATTAGAGAAAGTGGTTAGAAATATGGAGCAGATTTCTAGAAAATCTAAGAGAATGGTAACTGACGTTTCCGTGAAATTTTAATTACTCTTATGTTTCTCAGTACACTGCGTTCCATACTGAGTTCCTAATACCCTATGCAATTGACCAATAATTAACCTATATAACTGGCGTGTTACGAGCGCAATTGGTTGGCGTAATTGTTAGCAGTGACATACTGACCTTCGGATTCAAGAATATTATCTCGGAATAGAGAAGGGAGTTTTGCTCCTTAAAATGGACACATATATAGTCTCAGAGATAGCTTTGCATATACTTGAAAGCTCTATATACCTTTTTTTTAACGTCTGAAAAATGCTTTGTGTAGACCCATACACCTTGTGGGAGGTGAATGGGTACTGTGAAAATCCCCCCATAAGGTGGGAGTGTACCCACCAAAAACCAGACGATATACCCTCGAGGTGCCATATGTTGGATACATGGGTTCGCTTTCGCACTCACCACATCTCCGACGGCAAAAGCTCTATATACCTGTAATCTAGGAACGTAATGTATCACCACTTTTTCAATCCCAATAAGTTGTAAGAGAGATTAAGGCACAGAGTATATAATCTATGCTTATAATAAATCTGTAGAGAGGTCAATTCTGTACATGAAATATATTTCCAAAATAACTATCAGGGGGTGATTAGTGATCGATACTGATGCCAAAAGTGCAATCACTAAAATTTTTGTCTGTCTGTCTGTCTGTATGCTCGTTATAGAAACAAAAATTACTCGACGAATTTTAACGAAACGAACGTTATAGTATACTTTTCATCACGATAGGAGCAAAACAGTATTTGACGGGTCAGGTGGCTGGTAGATAATAACACACAGATTGCAACTAAGTGTATGAGTAGAAGTATAATCTCAGCCGAGTAATAGTTACTAATTAAAATTATCTCTCAGGAAAACAGATATTAAAATTTGCTAGCACTTTGATGAGTTGCACATCTAGGAAGCACGAATGTAAAATTTGCTCAAGTACCTCAATTACACTAATAATACTTATTGAGATGAGATAATCTATTATAATGTATTGTAGTATATTAGATGTACCTACATAGGTATCGAAATTCCCTGTTTAGTACTTGCATCTACCTATGTGTCTATGGTTTTGTTTTTTTTATATATTAATCAATTTGTCTAATAACTATATTAACCAATAACTATACGTTTGTAGTTACAATATTATTTACACGCAAATTTCAATGATGTAATTTCTCGTATTTAATTATTTTTTTATGTTATTATAGTTAGGTTTAGCCTGTTTGAAATAATCTCTAGTACAAATAGAAAATAGTGTTAAACAAGATTAATGCAAAAAAATTAATAAATCGAATGAAGGATTGCTAGTATTTGCTAGGGATAATTTGAGCGGTCATCAAATAATTTTATAATATTTAAAAAAAAATCCAATTACTTACGGGTGGTATGTATTTTTTTGTTTCATCTACGTGCATGCCCCCTACTTCCACTAAGCCAGGCAGCAAAGGTTTCACGCCGTTCAAACTGTGGAACGTGTTCATCATCATCAATGTAGTATTTTTTGCTAGATCATTTAAGTCGACGATTTTTCTACCGAAATACTTCTCAATTATCTCTTGCTCTTTTATTTGAATTGCGTATCGGTACCAGAATTTGAAATAGTAATTCATAACTGTAGATTCCAATCGCTCTATGAATGTGTTTGGGTTTTTAAATGCGGATGTTAATACTGGCATATACGAGAAATTCTCGGTGAGACCGATGCGTTCTGCTGACCAGGGCATCAAATAACTCGATAACAAAGCGATAACCGGCGCTTTTATTTCATAAACATGCAACAGTCCGAGCATGCAGTCTGTATTGAAATTCTCCACCAGCACTACATCGTATTCATTCCTCAATGCTTTCTTCAGAGTTGGCCAATTCATCAGTTTAGTGCATGTGTCCAACGCCATATCGGCGAGCACACTTAGACACTCTATTTGTTGAACAATATCGTCTAGGCCTATTAATCTTAGAAATACATTTCTTTCACTATACTCAGCTAGATCTATTGTCTCCACTCCCTCCTCGGCGATGCCTTTGAGACTAATTTCTGTGATTTTTTCTGGTGGTACATTAACAGGGAATATTGACGCGACGGTAACATTGTGGCCTCTCTCGATTAACGTCTTTAATAGTGGTTCGAAGACCATGTGATGACTTTTGCCGGTGTGCGGAAAAAGAGCCAGTATACGAGAACAATTCACATTGTTGAACGTTAAAATTGTTAAATAAGATATAAAGAGAATACGCATCATGCGATGCTGTTCTAACGAATGTCACCAATAAACTGTAATGCGGTGTAAAACTAAATGCCGTCTGTGTTTTATAATGTTGACGTTAAGGTTATCGCTCGGGTTTTCAAGCATAATATATGTTTATTACTGATATTATATATATACAGAACAATACTGAAAAGGGCCATGTTTATTTAATAATTTTTATGTATTTAATAATATAATATTTATAAATAAAAAAAAAAAAAAACTTCTAGATTTTGAGAGATTTGCCTTTATCATTTAAGTGAAATAATATCTAATTTTTAATTTGACCTCTTGTATTACTTTTGGTCTGATAACCGTAATGTAAGTTTAATATAGTATTTCTCTGATTTATTTCTATCACTGAATATTCGGCCTATTTTTTTTTTCTAAACAAAGATTTTTAATGGGTGATAATGGAATGGCAACCGTGCCCGCGCTATCGGTATACACTGGCGGGGTACCAGTGAGTGGTGATAGGTGACGATAAAAGCAGGTCCGTTAGCCCATCGTGACGAACTCCATTAGAATTAACCACGATAGTTTCCAGGGGAATTGCGTGGAGGTCGCCCTGATTACTAACAATTCCTTTCCCTCCAACATAAAGATTAATAACTATTAAAATTATTATTACAATTATTTTTTTCTGTTTTTAAGAGTTAAGGTGCTAAATTTGATTTACATACAATGGTAACTATAGATTCGAGCTACCGGGTTCAAAAATCAAGGATAGTTAATAACTAGCGACGTTGTGTTTCAAGACAAGTGAAGTCGTGGCGAATAGTTTGTATTATGTAAGAATCGTAACCTAATTTATCATACATTATCTGTTGATGTTTTACGTTTTAAGGCTCCACCTCATTATTAGTTGAATAAAGGCGAACGCCAATACTGCCAACGTACCGCTGGAGAGTGGAAAGTGATAATTCGATAGAAGCAGTTTAAAAGTATAATATTCTTGTTGCTCTCAAGGAGTATAATGGGATAGTAACCCGATTTATGTTTACGGTATAAGTTGACACGGCACCAGCGAGTGGTGATATGTGGGCATGAAAGCAGGTCATTTGGCCTATTGAGACGAATTCATCAGTAGTCACGATGGTTTTCGAGAGAACCGACAGGAGAAGGATGACCTGAGAGGGTATATTACAATATAAGCTATGGAGCTGCTAACATTTCCGTTACTAAAAATCGAAAGGGGCTAGAAGTAGTATAATGAGCATTGTCGAATAAACGCTTCACGTTAGTGTGATGTACAATAACGGTTTTTTTTTTTGATGGGTGAAAATGGTACGGTAACTCCGCCTGCACTGACGGGATACGCTGGCGGAGCACCAGTGAGGGGTGATAGATTAGAATGAAAACAGGCCAGTTAGGCCATCATGATGAATTCAACAGGAATTAACCGTGATAGTTTCCAGGGGGAACCGCGAGTAAGTCGACCTGGTTGGGTATATTGCTAGCAATAGGATTCTTAGTCTCCATTACTAACAATCCCTTTCCCCCTACAATAACCGGTTGCATTCTCAAACCTACTTGTCTGTTTTGTCTTTCTTATATTTTGTATATTATAAAATGGTAACTGGCCAAAGGTGATTGAGCTTAAGAAATAAACTACCGGAAAGCTGTCTCTGTCTCTCTGTAGCTTGCAGCTTCGCCCATGTCATACAGTATATAAAATATCCTCTATTCCAAATTACTCTTTCCGGCAAACATATCCTCACAAACATTTTGAGTTTTATTAGTACTATTAGCTGCTGGCCGCGACTCTGTTCGCGTGGTATGTGTTATTCCTGTTTAGTATGTGTCGATGGATGTACCTACCTATTTATTATGTCCGGGAATACTGGACCAAAATTAACAAATGACGTGTCGTCCTCACTCTTTGCCTTCAAAATTATTTAAGTAGGTTGTGTACTAAGCTGTATAGGTTACTATGGTTTTTTAACTATCCCACGGGAACTCTTTAATTTACCATGATTAAAAATATCTAAAATGTTGAACTGGAAAATAAGGTACCACCACGCAAAATTTTATTAAAATCAGTCCAACAGTTTCGGAGATTAGCCCGTACAAACAGACAAACTGATACAGAGAAACCAAAAAATTTTAATAAAATCTGGATGTGTTCTGTTTCACTTCTAACATCCTCCTGACTCGGTTCTTAGCGTTTTTTTTCTCTATGTACAGACATTCGACCTTTACAGTTTTATTATATGTATAAATAGCAGTGGCAACATTGTTTGCGTTTACACAAACTATTCGCTGTATCTTGCTCGCAGTTGTTCGTGTAATGCGTTGCAATGTGTTGCCACCTTTAGATGGCTTTAGATATATATAACTATAATATAACACGTAATTAGATTAAAATAGATATAGTTAGTGATGTGATGAGAGATAATACAAATTACAGTATCTAATCTTCACGAGGACGAGATAATGTCTGGTGACATACTTAGACGAAGATTATTTCTGAACATTTGTTCTTGTATACAAATAAAATTGCAGTGTTTACATAATTTACGAATTGATAAGGATTTTGCTCTACGTTCTTTTATTTATTTCAAAATCCTATTAATTGTAATGCTATTGTAAATGTAAAAGTTTGTGAGAATGTTGGCCACATTCGATATTAGTTACTCACGCAAAAAATGTTGAACGGATTTAAATGTAATAAAAAAAAAATTGGTATGTTGTAACGTAATAGATACTCTATATACTGGTCTCATATCACGCGGACAAAGCCGCGAGACATAGCTAGTATAATAGTAAAGTAAATAAATGTATAATGAATGCGCATACGAATAGTTTCAACATCAAGTACTGAATCCATCAACATGAATTTAATATTGGTCGCATGGGTCAGGAAATTTCAAATAACTCAGCGAGCTATGGAGAGGGCTATGCTACAGAATTCCACTGCGTCGTAGAACGCGCGAGAATTTTCGCAGAAAATACATAATACAGTTTTTCTTTTTAATTTAAAGTCGTTTAGTTATTTTTTAATTTAATTTTTAAATGTTTTTTTTTTACTTTCATAATTTTTTTATTTTACATAATAATATTTTTCTGTTTGTTCCTTATTATTTACTATATTTACATGTTATATCCTATCCTTTTATAATGGACTAATAATCTAATATATAAAATACTCGTGTCGCGGTGTTTGTGACCAAACTCCTCCGAAACGGCTTTACCGATTTTTATGAAATTTTGTGTGCATATCGGGTAGGTCTGAGAATCGGCCAACATCTATTTTACGTACCCCTCATTGATAAGGATAACCTTCCTCTAAATATTTTTTTTTTAGTTTTTTGACAATTTTTTTTATTTTTATTTTATTATAATTTAGTATTTAAAAATACATACAAATCCAAATTTTCAAGCTTTGACAATCAACCCCTGTTTTTTAATCGCGATTTTTATATGCCGTAACAGGGTTGCAAGATGGCAATCGAATATAATAATTGTAGTAGGATAAATTTTCATGTATAGTTCTCGAAATAATGTATATGGTAAAACAACGTTTGCCGAGTCAGCTAGTTTACATATAATAATGTTTTAATAAAAAAAAAAATAACATTACATTAATTTCGTGTTTTTGTTCATACCGAAATCGACACAGTAAATGGAGCTTAACATTTCGTTTGCCATAAATCCTACCATAAAAGTCCAAATAAATGATACTTTAGCATTTTTAATATTTTTAAACGGTATGTATTATGTAATTTTAAAATCAAATTTGTGTTTCGTTTGGACCCGAAATTTCGGAAAACATTTCATGGTAGGCCCTCTGTTCGCCCATCGCGACGAATTAACCAGAGTTTTGAATTTGATTATTGTTTCATTCTAATTTTGAGATTTTATGGCATACTAGTGAAACTAATATGTAACTAATATTATAAAGAGAAAAGATAATATTATATATGGATAAAGTAGTAAAAGAATTTATTAAAAATTCTTTCACCTATAGAAAGCTACATTATCAGAGACTAACATAAAATATACATATTATTATTTATTATTTCAGCCGTTAATTGTTCACTGCTGAACATAAACGTTACCCATAAGGAGAGTTTTGCCAATAGTTGCCACGCTTGGCAGGCGGGTTGGCAACCGCAGTTAGGCTTTTAGAGATGTTTCAAGAGGGAGAAGCTGCTGCCAATCCCTCGCCGTCCCTTAGTCGCCTCTTACGACACCCATGGGAAAGGGAGGGGTGGCCCTTTCTATGCCGGGGCACAAACGGTGTTACATATACATATTACTACTATATTTTATGCAATTTAGAATGGCAAACAAGCTGACGGGCCACCTGATGGAAAGTGGTAACCATCGCGTATAAACATGAGCAGTACCATGGACATAACAGAGTATAATGTTTCGCGCATGAAGAATGGGACAGAGGTGCTCAAGCAAACAACTTTTTACAAAGTCACCCTCTAGTTTCATATTAATAATATATAACATATCCATAAAACTAATATATTTCACAAAATCACAAAAAAAAATAACATATACGTATTAATGTAACATGGTATGATTTATTAAAAAAATGATAGAGGTTTTCAACACATCTATCATTTAATTTTATCATCATTATTAGGTAATGATGTTATCAAAAACATCACGTGTGTGACGTCGTGGGTAGAGTCTATGTAGATATATTATCGGTATTTTTAACCGCCGATAGGAGTGGCGGGTAGTGATTTATATGTTTGTATGTACTCACATATAAACATGTATAACATAGTATGTATGTATGTTGTTATATCACTGGAATTTATATTTATACCTACACATTGTCGTGTCGTAAAAATTAAACGAGAGGATCCATTTACAAATAAGTGATGCATTGTATTATCAGACCCGGCAGACATTGTGTTACTCCTTACCGCCATCTATTGGATCCTTTTTTCTTATCGGGATAAAAGTTTTTCTATCTTTCAAATTGAATCAAACAATACGCATTTATAAAATTTCATTAAAATTGATTGAGTGGTTTTGAAGATTAGCGTGAACAATTATCGTTTTCATATGTTACTAGTTGTTTGCCGCAGCT